AATAATCTTTAATCTGACCAAACAATTTTTATGATGAATGAGGCCCCTTCTACCAGCATGCTGCCATCACTTCCCACACCATAAAGACACAGAATTATGACCTTACAGGGGTTTTCAAACTTTAATATGAAATAAAAATCACCTGAAAAAACGTATTAAACATTTCCTGGGCCCCATTCCCAGAGAAGCTGATTTAGTAGGTCATGGTCCATGAATTTTTAGTTCTAACAAGCTCACAGGTGATACCAATGCTGTTGATCTGAGACCCACACTTTGAGAACCATTCCCTTAAAGGGATCACATCCATGTTTCACTCTTAAGTATTTTGTCTGTGACAGTGATGTCAAGCAATATTTCAAAAAAAAATGCAACACAAAAAATGTTGGGTAACTATTTAAAAAACATTTTTAATTATTTTGGATTAATCACATTTATCTAAATTTTTAGCCTATTCATTCACATTTACAGCGTACGTTACCTCCTAGGGAATGAAAAGTCAGTTTACCTTTTTTAAGGGACTAGGGATATCTCATGTGCCTAGATAGCTCAGATTAAGCAGAAAAGTAAGACAGACGGAAAAAAAGGCTATTTTAGGAAGTGCTCCTCAAAGTCTGAGCAATGGGACAGAATTTTAAAAACAAGGCAACTATTAGCAACAAGATTTTACATTAAATCAACCCTTATAGTTCCTAGTAAAGATTACAGGTAACTTACCCATTTGTACCACACCTTATTACATTTTAAGTTCAATTTATAAGCAAATTCTGAGAAAAGCAAAAAAGAAAGGAATAGCTGACTTGAGCCCTATATTGAGACAAAAAGGGTTCCTCAAATTTCTTGGCATCCTTACATTGATCCCAAGACTCAAGGCAAGTCCCACCATGGTAGGACTGAAAGTTAAAATGGCAATAGATATATGGTCATGGAAAATCAGGCTAGAACTAAACATCACCAGCACCTAGCATATTTCCTAATCCATCCCCTCCCCTCTCGCTCTCAGTAAATGACCTGTGTTGGAAACAAAAGAAGCCATCAGGTGGGAGCTATTTGACATTCTTCTACCTATAAACTTATTTGCACCTATAATCTTTCTTCTTTCCCTTCAATTACCGAAAAAGTGTGTCAATCTCTTTTCCTGTTCAAGGATAATCAGTACTACTACCTGTGGCCTTAACCCCATCTCCTCTAGAAACTTGTTGCTTTAAATCACTTTGGTTCTTTCCTGAATCTTTACCTCCCTATTTCCCTTAGAATTTAAACATGCTCAAACCTCTGCATCCATAATAAAAAAATTAATAAAAACAAAGAATTAAAGTGACACCTACAATCACCTTGCCATTAACAGTGCTACGCACCCATTCACCCTACACTGTCACCACTGACCTTTTAATTTTCAGATTCTATCCTTGGGTCTTAAAATATATTTGCATCATCTGACACCTATGACCACTCATTTCTTAAACCTGCCCATTTGCATTCATGGTATTTCCTTATTTCCTTCCTGTTTGACCATTCCCTCAGATTCTATTTTCTCACATCTTTTCTATGATCCATAACTCCTGAATCTACATTGCTAGCTTCGAACTCCCATGTGACCATATGCCTATTTGATATCACTACCCTGGCTACACAACAGACATATGCAAAAGAAATTTACTCTTCTTCCCACCCAGCCTGCTCTTCCTTCTGTATTCCCTACATTGACCATTGTGCCACCTATTTAGATAGTTCTCAAGTCAGATATCTGTAAGTTACCTCAAAGTACTTTTATACATTCCCCACCATTCATTCACTCACCAAAGTCTATTGACTTATCAAGTCCACCCTGTCCATCTCTACTTGCAATGCCTTGATAAGTTCAAGAACTGACCATTTCTTACGGTATTCTTTATAGGTCTCCCTGCTTCCAATCTATACCCCATATAGCGCCCATTTAGAGTGACTTTTCTAAAACAGAAGATTAATTGTCTCTCTCCTCTATCTACAATGATCTGGCCTCATTTCTACTTGTGTCATTAAGATATAATGAACATCATGGAGCCCCACCCTGCTCTCCTCCCTCTCATTAACTGCTTTCTCTTCGTTGTCTGGCTGAGGACTCCTTACCATTCTCTCTAGGCCATCTCACCAAGAAGTCTCTGTGTAAACAGAACTAAATGGACAAGAGCAGAGGCTGGGTGGATTAGACTAGACCATGAGACTCTTGCATCCTACTTAGCAACCTGAGAAAGAAATTAAGGTTAGTCTAGAACCTCATCAACTTGCTGAATATGGGAAGTCAGGGACAGAGAGGGGCCTGACCCATCCGAAAGGATACCAAGCAGGACTGTAGTTATTCCCTGGCCTGAGACATACCCTGATAGAGGAGCAAAAGGAAAACAGGAAAGTATATTAATACTACAGTCCAGAAAGCTGCAAGATGATAGCCATCATTACTAAGTCCTTGGAGCATTATTACTGTGGACATAGATTAACCAAGTCCAGCTTTAATGAGAATTGTGGGTCAAAGAGATAGTGACAGAAAGGAATCTTTTCATATCATGTATTATCTCATAAAGGTATTTAAGTACAAATATATATACATATATAATTTGAAATAACAAATTAATTGTATCATTTAAAAACAAAAAATTAACAAAACCAGCACCTTTAAATGGCCGTCATCTGTAGATAAAGTTTAAGCTCCTTAGTGAGATATACAAGATCTTTAAATTGGCTCCTTGCAACTGTCCAGTGTCATCTCTTGCCATTAGGTGCTTCACTCTTCTTGCCCTAGCAATACTGACTTGTTTACAGTTTTCCAGACATAACATGCTATGTTATTTTCACATTTATGTGCTTTTGTCCATGCAATCTCTTTTGCCTAGAAATGTAACCCTCTTTTGTCAGTCTTTGTGATAAGTTCCTATACATTCCTCAAGATTGCACATTCCCAGGGGGGATAGCCCAAGTGGTAGAGTGTATGCTTAGTATGCATGAGGTCCCGGGTTCCCTACTACCTCCTCTAAAAATAAATAAATAAATGAATCTAATTGCCTCCCTGCCTTGCCCCAAATAAAATAAAATAATTAAAAAAAAAGATTGCACATTCCCAGATGCTCCTAAATTCAAGGGAACAAAAAGCTTAATAAATGTTTATTGAATTGAGCAATTTATTTGTTTAGCTTCTCTACTAAACTCTGAACTCTCCAGGGACCAATCACCCCATATGGGATTTTTTGTGCTAAAACCAGGACAGTCCTGTAGAGTTGGTCATCCCACCCCACAAAGACAGAAAATATGTCACAATCATTCCATATTCTGATCTAGACGTCTGTTAAATAGAACTGAACAGAAATGTTTAAAACAATGGGTGCATCAGACAAAGATGGCTGTAAACAGCCCAATCACCTAAAGAACCAAACACTGGCCTTATTATTTCAGTGGTACCAGACTTGCTTCTTATTCCTCAATTAGGTTTGGCTACTACCAAAGACTAGTGTGTTTAACACAATGGCTATCACCAATGCAAGTTAGGCAAATAGTCAGAGAGAAACTAGATGATACAAACTTCTGAAGAATTAACATCATTCTTCACCAAATTCCTGTCTGTCATCTACACCATTAAAACCCGGAAGTAAGTGCTGGGCAGAAAGGTCAGTCACCAACTATACCTGTTTAGTCTGCAATTCAATAACTGAGAAAGTCTTAAGAGTGGCTAAAAGAGCAGGTATGTTTCTCCCCACTAAACAATGGAGAATTTCATTAAGAACTCAATGTGCATTTGAATCTGCATAGGACCACAAAAGTGTTATTTACTAACTATGGCAAAAGCTCTCTAAACATTCCTGTAGGACATAAGTGATTCCCTAAAAATGCCTGCAATTAAAAAAACCTTTACAATCCTGTCTCTGTTAGTTCCTTACCAATACTGAGTCTGAAGACTCTGCTGATCAGAGTACCCCCTGTCACAAGTTATTCCTAAGGTACAGACATCAGGTGCACGTAAATGCAAAAAACTACATTACTGGGTCTACCAATAACCCCAATTAACTAGCTGAAACTAAAGAGGTCAGAAAAGAGGGAGAAAATGTTTAACCTCATATGGTTACTATGTTACCTGTTGTTCAGCAGAATGTTAGAACACTTAATATCCCGATGCAGGAAATTCTTTTTGTGACAGTAATCCAATCCTTCCATTAGCTGTTTCATGAATGACTTGATATGGTCCTCAGAAAAGTGCACCAAACCAGATTCCAACAGTCCCATTAAGTCATGGTCCATATACTCAAAAACAAGGTAAAAGGCACCTATGTAAGATGAAAGAAAAAATTAAAAACAAAAGAAAAAGGATGCTGAAATGACAATGACTCAAATTTTAATATAATTTTGGAATTGACCACAAACTCTCTGGAAAAAAAACACTTTATTTTATACATGAAGAAACTGAAATTCAAGCAGTTGAAAAACTTGCCCATTCTAATAATAAATAACAGAACTACTATTTGAATTAATCTTCTGACTCATAGTCCAGCACTCTGACTACTTACTTCTTGAGGGGGACAACTGCCCCAATTAGGTTGTATAACCAGTCTTTCATGATCTAAGTCCATTGGCAAATTACAGGCCCTTGCGCCGAATGTAGTCTGCTGTCTATTGCTGTAAATAAAGTTTTATTTGTAACACACAACCATGCCCATTTGTTACATATTTTCAAAGACTTCTTTTGTAGAAGTCTTTACCCTAGTAAACAGCACTCACATAATATGCCAAGGGTATATTCAGTATAAATTACTAATGAAATTTATAGTATTTAAGAATTGAAAGAAAGATGAAGCATCTAATTCCCTCAATTTAAAAGCAGATAAAAGGCTAAAAGAATTATGAAAGTTTTGAAATCCACAATATCTTTTGACTTTAGGCAAGGTGCATGATAGAGGCAAATATTACAATATAAGAAATACTAGACCTAGTTAGACAATGATTTATCCAGTCTAGAATTCTTCTCTCAGTAGCACAAAATCAAGGATTCTTAATCTAAGGGGACTTCAAGGACTCTCTGAGCTCTCTGAAATAACATACAACATTTTAAACATATGCGTATGCAACATTTTAAATGTATGTTTTTGAAGAGTGGATCCGTATGATGTTTAAAGAGGTCCTAAAATGTAAGCACTGCAGTAAAGGAATATCTTAGCTTTAGCTAAGACTTCATACAACTTAATAAAACACTAAAACTGCAAAAGATGAGTAGACAAAAGACACAAAGGGATAACTCAAAAAAGAGAAAATTAAGTAAAACTGATAAACATGAGGAAAAACTCAGAATGTAGAATGCAATCCAAAATAATGATAGCATTCATACTTCACCTAACAGATAAGATGACAATCTTTAAAAAAATTAACTCAATGATAGGGAGGATCAAGTGAGATGGGCACTCACTGGTGGGACATAAATTATTTTCTTTCTAAAAAACAATCTAACATTTAATATGAAAATTCCTTTGACCTAATAATTCTACTTCTAGGAAACTATATTAAGAAATCAATCAAAATGCAAAAATTTATGTACAAAGATGCTCAAGGCGGTGCTATTTTTTTTTTAAAACTGGCAACTGCTCAATAAGGACAGGTGAAATAAACTTGGATTCATCTATTTTTATGCACAGTCATTAAAACATGTTAATGATATGGGAAATTGCTTATGACAAGTTATGAAACACTAAATATGCCTTGCTCTCAGTTATATTAAAATAAATACAATACATACATACAGTACTAGAAAGAAATATGCCAAAGCTCTAATACAATAGTGATTTTTTATGGATGGTGGTATACTGGGAAGGAGTGGGAGAGAAGTGATTGACATTTTCTTTTTCTTACTCTTCTGTATTTTTAATTTTTCCACAATGGGCATGCATCACATCCATTCATTCATTATTTTATGAGTTTAAAAAAAAAAGAACTTAAACAGTACCTGCTAAATTATTTAAAAAGTATAGAATGGCATGGATGAAAGCATGCCCCTCTCCAGAAGCAACCAATTAATATTTTCTTGTGCATCCTTATAGAAACTAATTACACACTGTACAGTTATCTATAATCAGAAAAAATTTAAAAACACATTCAGAAATACACCTGGTATACTTAAATCTATTCTCATCTAAAGCTCATAAATTAATCTAAATAGTTACATAAACATAATTTCCTTTTATTTTCTTTAAAACTACTTTTACAAACTCAAAAGGTACTACTCCCCTAGTGCTAACATCTTTGAGGCTTTTGAGGTTCTTTAAAGAAGTCCAGCTTAACTTTATCCATTACCTTCCTAATTTTATGTATTCCAATCATATTCTCTCAACATCCCAGTGTGTATTCACAGATGCCATCTCTTCACAGTTGCCCATCTTTAAACCTTCAGATTTATTTCAATAAAAGTAGACTGGATGTCATATATAGACTACTTCAAACGTAAGTATGGAAACAACGAATAATTTATCCCCCAAACAGAGACAAAAGTTACAAATCCAGGAAAACAAACTACTAAATGACCTGAAGAAGATTATTCTTAGAAATACCTGCTTCGGATTCTAAACTGTATGAGTACAAAACTGTAAATATATGGATGCATATAAATGAAGGAATGATGTAAAAATGAGAATAACTGACAAATCTGGGTTCTAATTTCCATTATTTTTATTCTAACTTGTGAAAGAAACCATCAAAATATTGGTCGGAGGAGAATCTTACATTGTTTATGTGTTGGCCTTATTAGTTGTTAATCATTAAAATTAGGGTCTGCTGTAACAGTGATTTCTAAAAGTATAAGAATAGACTGATGAAGAATGCACATTTTATAAAATAAGCACTGTTCAGCAGAAGAGCACTCTGTTAACACCTTAATTATGGTATGGATTAAGGAAAGAAGCTGGACATTTGTACAACCTGTTAAAAAATGCAAACAGGTAAACAAGCTAAGAAAGGAAAATAAGATGTGCCAATCTACACTGTAGAAACATGATTCTTTGCTACTACCTTTGTCTTTCTTGAAATCCAGGGCATCCTGTTTATCTGTGACAATTTCCTTCATGTTAACAACACTTCGGTGGATTAGCTGACGAAGGATTTTGATTTCACGAATGGCTGTGATTGGGAAGCCCTCTTTCTCGTTGTCTAGTCTCACCTTCTTCAGGGCCACTAGCTCTCCTGTCACAACAAATTCAAACTGTTATATTATCAATCGGCATTTGAGGGGGTGGTAATTAGGTTTATTTATTTTCATGAAGGTACTGGGGATTGAACCCAGGACCTTGTGCATGCTAAGCACACACTCTACCACTGAGCTATATCCTCCCTGCTTCAATTAGCATTTTTTGGCCATCACCCAGCCAATATATGTTCTTGCTCAGAAAGACAGATTTATTTATATCTAAATTTTTTTAAATTAAGTATAGTCGATTTACCATCTTGCAGGAATTTCTGGTGTACAGAAAGGTGATTCAGTTATACATACACATACATATATATATCCTTTTCATATTCTTTTTCATTATAGGCTATTACAATGTATTGAACTTAGTTCCCTGTGTTATATGAAAGACAAATTTAATGACTACTTTAATGCTATATGCCAGATATTTTTATATCATTTAAAAAAAATCCCCATATTCCCTTTCTTACCTTTGATTTTTTTTTAAAGAATTTAAAATTTAATATTCAGTAAGGCCGAAAAATTTTGTATTATTAAAATATACCAATAACTCATCTGCTTCATTTTATCACAAATGACTAACCCTTTACCAAACAAAAAGCAACTTACAGATTGTATTTTTACCCTCTCTTAAATTCCCAGCAAGCTTAATAGAAAACATTTATAATGGACAACAAGAAGGAGGAAGGTTTTTACACAGTAATACTACTACTACTCTTTTGGAAAATTTTAGTCTATTTAGTAACTCTTGGAGACCAAATTAGAACTCAAAATTTACTTCTGCTAAATTTACTTGAGACATCAGTATTGCTAAATTTTTAACCTTCTGACATATAGAATTTTGTAGCAATATTTACCTGTGTCTTTATCCTTGGCTTTATATACTTGGCCATAGGTTCCTTCTCCAATAATCCCAATAATGTCAAACTTGTCCACACAGCGTTTCCCCCAGTCGCTTTCTGTTTGTCTCCTTTCTCCATAACGAGGACAACAAATTCTAAAAAAAAGGCAAAATAAAAGTAAAAATAAACAAAAAATTTTTTTAATTAAGTATATTCAAAGAACAAAACAGAATTATTTTATGATGATTTCCTCTGGCTCCTGAGTCTTTTATCAATTTCTTTATTAAAAAGGCAGGAATCAAATGATATGAAAATAGTCTAAACAGTTCTCACAATGGCTAGGATAGATTTTTTTTTATGCTTCAGGAAGACATCAAATAATAATAGATTTGCTGCTTACTTTCTGACCTCTATCGAGCACTGGCTTCCTCAACTATAGATGGGAAAACAATCCCTACATCATAGAGTTACTATGAAAGTAAAACATAAAACTTTGGCAACACTGTGTGCTCAATAAATGGCAACTATTTTTATTACTAAAAGAAGAATGCTAACAATCAGAAGATCAAACACAGATTCTACTTCTTTTGTGGCATGGCAACTTATATAGTTTAGGGGGAAAAGAATCTCACATCTACTAATTTTTCATTAACGTGTACACAGTTGACACACTCTGAATGAAAGGTTTTTTTCCTTTCTTTAATACTCTTAGTTATAGACTCAAAAGATACAATGGGATCAATGTTTATGGTATACTTGGATTTGGGGAATTACTGCTTTTCTAAAAAACACAGCAAGATATCTGTGGGTGCAGATGAAAGGCTTTTATTCACTAAAATAAAATAAGATATACATTAGGCCCAATCTTTGATCCTACTGGTATAGGTTGCAGAAGTCTGAGATTTAGGCCCAATGGTAAGGAAGAAAACTGTAATTAAGGATTGGTCCCTCCAAAAACTCACTTTGGTCTCTTTTTATATGGTTGCTGAGGTGGTGTGATTGCCTTTGGTTCAGGAGAGTCTGGGGGAGATGGATCCCCACCAGGGAGCTCTGGAGGGAGAGGGAGGTCTGTGAGTAGGTGACGTGGCCTTTGTTCCTTCTCTTTCTTTACAGGTTTTGAAGGTAGAGTTTCTTTTGGGCTAAACAATAGAGGAAGAAAAGAAAAAGATCACAATTATTTAAACAATATGCAAATAAAACTTCAAAGATTATAATGTCTGGCCATTAAAAGAATGCAAAGATTTTACTTTTTAGGGAAAAAAACCAGTAATACAACGTAAAGAAACAAAGTTTATCACAATTAAAGACACCTGGATTTTGCAAAAAGAAATCTATAGTATATTGAAAAAACTAATAAAACATTGGGGATACTATTTGTAGATCCTTTAACAAACTCTTTCTTAAATGTCCTTCCTAAAACTCTATTTGGATTTTAATTGAGATGAAATAATGCAAGAAGTAATTATCTTAAATTTGCAAAGCACCACTCCAACTCATGGAGGCACCAAACCTACTCTATATTTTAACCAGCAAAGATTTAAATAATGATCGAAAGCCCAACAATGTAATACTACTATATTGCTACAGATGTGGAGAGAACCTAGAAAAAGCAATAGTATTTTAAAGTGTTTTGTAAGAAATACAGCTAAGCTGGAAATTAAAATTATTGAAAAATACACTAACTTATTCCATTGGTTTGGAAGCAAAAGGCAACCATATCTGACCAGCCAAAATGGATAAATAACCCTCAAACTAAAAATCTAAGGAGAAAGTCCAAGAGACTATTTCAGAATCATCAAAGCACTGGTAGCAGAAGGCCTCTCACAATAATCAACAAATTATAATAATCAGTGGGAGAAACAGAAGGATGGCTTTTCTGGAATAGATCAGAAAATTCAGTTTTCAGATCTAATTTTTTAACCACTTCTGTTTATGAGTAAAGGAAGGATTCTGTGCCATGCACGTCCTCAAAAAAGAGAGTACAGCATACTAATTCATGCCTACAAATAAAACCATGTTAGATAGTCCTGTATTTCATCATAGTATCAGAAGGTTAAAAAGTCTCAGAACCCTAAGCACAGTAGGAATCTCTTCTATTTTTTTGATAAGTGGCTATAAAAAAATTTATGTTCTTTCATGAATACTTCCACAGAACCATAAAGAACAGATCTATCTCTTGCAATGAATCTTTTTAAAGCATACTGCTGCCCTTTGTGTGTGAAACAATCTCAAAAGCTACTACTTCCTACCAACTTTCATCATTTTAATCTCTTACATCAGACAGAACAACAGAATCTAGTTTGTACCATATCAACCAGAACTGGGATAGTCAACAGAGTACAAAACGATTATCTGAAAGTTTCTATTAAATTACTGATAGAGATAAACACACAACATTATTTTAATTTGCACTAATATTTTTCTACCCTGGGGACAAAGCCTCTTACCAGAAAACTCTTGAGTCAAGATACAACATAAATTTTTTAAATTTCCCCAAGTTTTAAGACATTCAGGGAAAGAAAATGCCTAATTTTTCAACTACTAATGTCAAAATATTCTTCATAAATTTAAATTCCTCATGATTCAGAAACAGATTACTTCTTGGTGTCACTAGAATTAAATTATCTGAATTCTTTCACCATCATTTCATGTAAGTTCAGTCTGTTTTATATTTAGGTTTTGTCTTCTCCAAAATTTACTTTATGGTTTCAAATATTGTTTACTACTGTGAAAATGTACATTGCTTCTGAAAAATTTTTAGCATGTTTATTTCAAGAAAGAATGACTGTTTGATAGGATACATACTACCTCTTCAGGGCACACAAGTTAAATAGGTCAAATCCTGTTTCAAAAATGAATGAATGAATGAGTAAATAAATAAATAAACCCTGTTTCAACAAATTCCAAATATACCAAAACTCCTGGAATAAATAAAATAAAACTGCAATGCTTAACAACATTATGGTCTTTAGCCTTTAGGGTAGGGCACTCACTAAAATACAACTCTACATAGTTCTGAGGACATGTGGTAGATACAGAGAGGGCCTAATATAGGGAAACAGATACTCAACATTGAGTCAGTATCAGTGCTGATCATTATCAGTATTTCCTGGTTCTCCATTTATACCTGTAGATGGGTTCACATATGGTGAGAAGATTCCATAATACTTGTGTATAATTTTTTTTAAAAAGGTTGCCAAGCTCCATGACTGTTCAAATTTTAGAACCTGGATAGTCGCTTGGAATTTATGATAATGGGATTTAATCTGTGGGTACAATGTAAACACTTCTAATAAAAAGTCTTTTTTGTTAAAGAGTATGAATTTACATCTGAACTATTCAAAAATAAAATTAACTCTTTGAAATTTCAAAATTTAAAGTTAACTAAATATGATCATTTATCTCCTTCCCCTTAAAGCAGTTTTAAAAAGTGATTTATTTCTATAAACTTCTATTAAAAATTTGAGTTGAATACATTAAAAATATTCTATAAGCATTCCAATAGAAAACAAGCATTCTATTAGCAAAATCCGAATGTTTACACAGGTCTTTTCCTTAGTACAAGAGCACAGTACTTTAAAAATATAGCCTTTAAGAATAATGTAGACTTGGGGGTAGGGAGTATAGCTCAGTGGTAGAGCACATGCTTGACCTATACAAGGTTCTGGGTTCAATCCCCAGTGCCTCTGTTAGGAGAAAAAACAAACCAAAACAAAAAAAGAACAATGTAGACTCTACTGAAGTCTGATAAACTCCAAATGAACAAGGATATCAAAAAAAAAAAAAAATGAAGATTCAAAAAACCCTATGTAGTTAATTAAAAATTTAAAGAAGTGTACACAGATGATCTCCTTAAAAGCAACAGATCACCATGAATAGCTGTGTTCACAAAGAATGTTCTATCAAAGTGGATGTCCAGCAGCCTTTACTTTTTATTTTTTATTTATTTTTTTTTTTAGCCTTTGCTTCTTGAAACTAAGAATTACAGGCCATGAATCAGAAAGATTTTTTCAATACTATTAAATTTACTCCTACATTTGATACGTGGGTTAATACTCTTGCCCAATATATATGTTTGAAAGAAAAGTTTCATTGTTTTCCCAAAAGGACAAATCCTATAATATAAGCTTTATGCCATGAATATGCCAAATGATTTCTAACTACATGCCTGGTGTCATTTCACACAAGCCCTGATCCTGGCTCCTTCAGCAGTTTTACTTATTCAAATAATCAACATCTAATGATTGCATTCTGTGTTCTATGTTCAAAGCACTGTAGGCAATAAAAAGATGTATAAGTTATATTGTTAAAATTTAAATTGCTGCAGCCTCACATGAAAGATATAGAGAGGAATATGAGTCCCATGTACAACTTTCAGATTTCTTCCTAAAAAGTTTTCTTACATAAAATTATTAAATTATTTTTCATGTGAAAGATAAGTACAGCTAGGACATGGATAGGGTGGCACCAAATAAAGACAAAAACAAAAAAAAATCTTGAATTTTAAATTAGTACATAGTGAAAAAATAAAATCGATAGTGGAAGAAATCTTCACTTCCATTTTTCTACCTTTAATAATTTACTTATGCTGTATGTGGAAAACTGGTATTAATGATATATTAAAATATAATTATATTGGACTACTAAATAGTCATACTTCTGGAATCAGAATTGATACATAACAAAGTTTTTCTCACTTCATTCTCTTTCTTATACATTCTTAAAGATAGCCACACATACGCAAATAAGCACTGAATGGTCTTACTTTATCCTTTATCCCCAGTGTGAAAGATAGAAATCCCTATATGCCCTCCATCAATATTGTTTCACCTCTGGAAATCTGCATGCTGACACATGGTAGGTAGGTCCAACAGCTATTTGGTTACCCAAGTAAACTTCCCAAAACGAAGATTCTTATCCATGCTGATACTGTTCTAGCCACTACATAAACTAGTATTTAAACAAGGTTCCTGTGGATAGATAGTGGCTTATGTTTCCTTTGCGTGATACTCAACTACTTTCTTTTCCAACAAAAACTTTAAAAATACATAGCTTGTATCTATGAGAAGTATACTGTGTACCTCAAACAAATTTTTCTACATAAATTTCAGGTTCTGTTCTTCTCCTTTGTAGTTCTCAGGATGTGGCAGAATTCATACATACCTATTAACATTAGAAACAGCATGTGGAATTTTTCTCTAAAATCAGATTTACCATTATGAATAAAAATGAAGCCATTCTTTTACATAATCTCTCCTCTCACTGCTTATACTTGCACCTTCTTAAAAGGCACAGAGGGTAGTCTGAAAAATATAGACCTAAAGGGCTGAAATGTATCACCATTCAAACTACTGATGTCACTTGGAAAGTAATGGAGGCTTGGAATTGGTCTGGGATGCAAGATCCACGTACTTATTTTTATGTTTACAGTGAAAGTTTGTTGCAAAAAATGAAACTCATATCCCAGAGAACAAGAGGGCAGGGTCTTCACAGAAAAAACAGTAACACAAAGACTGTCATGGCATATGTCACTGCTAAATCATATTTGTTTGGTGGTACTTGCCTAGATAGCCCTACCAAGAAATTAAACAAATATATTTCTTAATGCCTCCCATGAAATCAGATTCATGCTTCATAATCATGTCAGTTCTCAATACTCAGAGGACTCATTAAAATTAGAGCTTTTCCCATCACCCTATTGTGAATTTATATTCTAATTAGCAAAGATTCTACATATTGTCCTTTTGCTTCTTACAGGATAATTAAATTTTTTTTAAAGCAGCACTTTTCCTGATCAGGAGGGGAAACAAAAAAACAGCTGTAAAAGACATTTTTGGGAATACTGAGGATATTTAATATTATTATTATTATTGATATGCTAGTTATATTATTAAATGAATGGTAGTTTTTTTAGGGTGATAAAGTTGTGATTATATAGGAAAATGTTCTTGTTAGGAGAGGCACATAAAGTATTCAGAAGTGTCATGACATCTACAGTTAAAACAAATGTGGCAAAAATTTAACAACTGGTGAATCTAAGTGAAGAGTATAAGAGTGTTAATTATAATCTTTTGATTTTTCTACAGCTATTTAATGTTAAATTTTTCAATACAAAAATTTACGGAGAAAACCCTTGATTTTTTAAAATCTGAATCAAAATTATCAGTAAATACACCTATGAGAAAAAGGTTACTGGCCCTCAAATTGTAATTCTCTTTTCTTAGTAATGTCACACATAAGGACTTTTCCACTGAAAACCAAACATCAGAGGCATTTCCTATTCATAACAGCATGCTCAACAGCCATGCATTAGAGCAATTTTGACGAAGTTTGAGAACAGAAAATACATTACACTTAGATCAAGAGAGTTAAATTTTTCCAGTTAACGACGTGACTTACCTATCCATGTCATCATCTTCTGGTAATAAGGGTGGGAGGGGCAGAGGAGGCAACGTTGAAGTTTTTAAGTGTGGAATAGCAGCTGTTACAGATACTTGAGTCTTCACAGAAACCTGTACAGGGGGCTGAGAATTTGCCTGAGAGGACAGAGTAGATGTCCTTGGATGAGTAGAAGGGGGCAAAGTTGAAGTACTAGAAGCAAGAACCTGACCAAATGCTGGTTGGGGAGGAGGCAGAGGTGGTTGCTGTGGAATAGCTGGTAGTGGAGGCAAAGGCGGCAAGGGGGGTGTCTGAGGTGGAGGGGAAGTAGTTGGTAAAGGAGGTGGAGAAGTAACTGTGGGGAGAGGTGGAAGGGTCTCCTTTTCTGATGTCTCTGTCTCTTTTGGAGGAACAATCTCCTCTTTCAGTGCTATTGGTTTACAGTCTCTTGTTCCCTGTACTTTCAAATCCTTAAGAACAGGATGCTTCTCGGAGTTCTCATCCAACTTTACTTTCCCTGTATCTAAAGAATTTTTGACCTCTGTGTTAAGATGTGTTACATTCACCATTTCAGTATCTGGGGCAGATTTTTCCAATTTTACACCTCTGGGTAACTTTTTAGACTCCAAGCCTGAATCCTTAGCCTCTACTGAACTGTTCTCTTTTCTAGGCAAAAATATAGGTGACCCCTTGGATTCCTTTCCATCCATTTTTGCTGCAGCAGCAGCAGCTGCTCTTTCCTTCTTTTTCCTACTGAGTTCAGCTCCCAAACTGGAGTTCAATGGAAGCCTGACAGGTGAGATACTGGAATGTCGACTGCGTGACCCGGATCTCTTCTTTTTACTATGAGAAGATGAGTGTCTTGAATATGTGGGACTTCTACTTCTAGACTTCATGGATTTTCTACTGGAAAAAAAAATAAAAGCAGTTTAAAATGGATAGACTACAGCAACATGGAAGAAAACAGATTAGTTAAACAAACTATGGAGAACTGTAACTTAAAAAAGACCCACTTTGAGTAATTAAGCAATTTTAAAAACAGATTAGGTACCATCAAATTATAATAACAATACATCAATATTGGTTCATTAATCATAACAAATGTACCATGTAACAAATGTAAGATGTTAATAACAGGGAAAACTGAATGGGGGACATAAAATAGTTCTTTGATCTTTATAATTTTTCTGTAAATTTAAAATTGTTTTTTACTTAATAGATTAGAAAGAAATAACTCCTGCATGGCAACATATTTCAATCATATAACACTAAAAAATCATCCACTACTTATTCTCTGAAGGAAGATGGATGCATATTTTTTTTTCATGTTGGAAAATACTCATATTCATGATTACCTTTAGATTTTTGGTTTAAATATTTGATAAAGTGAAAACATAATTTTAAAAAGTCATACTTAATGCTAAAGGTGGGTTATACCAATTAGGAAGTTAAAAGTAACTAGCATGCTTCACCAAAACCTAATTTTTTAGAACTCGCTATTTGACAAATCCCAGTAAAGAATTTTGTTCTTCGTATCCTCAGTTTATAACTAAGTTGTGCCTATTAAACAAACCCTCAAGACACAAGAGTTAGGATTATAAACTAGATAAACTAGAGAAACTGTCTTACCAAAATAATTTAGTAGAAATTCTCAAAACTATGATGGCTTCTGGTACTTACCAATATAAAATAATTTCCAATCAACTTTTTAAGAACTCATAAAGCAAGGTATTATTGTATGTTCAATTTATTTTCTTTGTTATTAAGGAAGGACTGGGAAGTAAAATCCAGGAATCTATAAGGCAGATTATTCTAAATTGAAACCCAAACCCTCATTCGTTTTGCTTTTTAATAAAGCCTAACATGCTCAGGCCTCAATTTTAGGGGAAAAAAAAAAACATTAGCACAAAAAATGTGATGGGACATAAAACATAATTTGCCCAGTAGTCTAAAACAAACTGCTCCCATTCCACACCTTCAGTATCCCCCTTTATCTTTGATCATTGGTAAGACTGATGTGATTCTCAAAACGTTTCAAAACAAACAGCAGATACATGGTAAGGGAAACAACTCACATGATGTTATTTTTCTTAAACCTATAATGCTTTTTGGAAATTTGCCTTCAAAAAGCTAGTTAAAATATAAAGTCATCTTTGGCATCAGAGTACTCAAAATAACATACATATGAACATCAGGATATAAAACACTAAAGTTAGTTAAGTGGATTTACCAATTACCCACTTACCCTTAAGAAAACTAATATTTCTCTTATAAATAATTGCCCGAAACAAATTTTCCGTGATTGAATTACAGGCTGGATAAAACCAACATCTCTATCTCAGGAAAACACAAGGTAATGTCAGAGACCATGCTCTACAAACCACTGTTTCTTTCATCTTTTCAGCATGACTAAATCTTCCTAAGGAACTCTGCTATAAATCTTTCAATTTCTGAACAGAAGCGTACTGTTAATAGGACATTTGGATGGCCATATACTTAAGGTATTTTTAGTTATACAAATGTTACATTTGAGGTTCAGATCCAGTTTTCAAGGAAAAAAGGGGGGAATGGGGACAACAAATATGCAAATGTAGGCAACAATAAAAACATTTGTCTTAAAAAACAAATATATTTTTTCCTTGAATTATGTTAGGTTCCAGCCATTTGAAAAGAAACTGCTGCTGTTAATCACTACAAATTTGGTGGATGCAAAGACCTTGTATTTCTGCCAATCCATTTTCAGTCTTTTGAAATGGTATCTCTTGTTTAATTTTGACTGTCTCAAGGAAAACAGAGAATACCATCAAAGGGATCTGTATGTTCTCTACTCTGACTCTTAAAGAAATTTCTGTATTTATTGTTTGGAATTTCAGCGAATGAGAAAAAGTACATAATGCACACATACAAACATATAATGCTATCTGCAAGCCAACTAAAAATGTGCATGTGACTACAGGATTATTATGTAGGGTTTATATTTCTGTCCTATACTATCTTACTGTGTCTCCAATTCTATCTTGATTTATTTTTACCATTACTGCACTAGTTTCAATTAAGTGAGCATAGGAAGAGAGAACTCAAGATATGAATTCAAAAGGAATCACTGCAAAGCTGCAATTTTGACTGAAACTCCTTTTAGTGTTTTAGCCTCAATGCAATTCTGTATTCCCAAACCTCATTAAAATAAAAATTCTCTGAACAGCCTTAATGAAACTACTCCTTCAAGAAAACAAATATTCTGAGAATAATTCTTAGGCTTCCTTAAAAAAAAAAAAACTAAACACTCTTACAAATGGTACACTTAAGACATACATTTCACTGTATATAAATATTACCCATCATCCCTCCAAAAAAAAAGTGAACTCTAGCTAATGGAATACATGCTAAACTGTTTCTCATAAAGTCTACTGATGTCTGCAACTTTGAGGTAAATCAAAACAAATGAAAAGATGCCTTGACGGAGAGAGATGGACAGAGTAGATAAAATATATAGCAAATATTAACTGCAGAATCTAGGTGGTACATAAATGGGTCCTCACTACCATTCGTTCAACTCTTCTGTGTTTGAAAAATTGAATAAAATGGAGAGAAAAAAACTAAGAACTTCAGACTCTGACAGCTAGGAACTCTTGCAGCTTGATGAATTCAAACTAGTTTATGAATAATTTAAGTCAACAAAACTACTCACACTGACATGTAAAAGACATGCATGGATTTTTCAAATTAGCATAATTTCTCTACTAGTGTTCAACAACATTTTCCTCATTCATAGACAGAATTTACTGACTGGTCCCAGGTAACAGGCACTGTGCCATGCATTTTACATTTACTAACTAATTAATCCTTACAACAACTGTAGAAGTAGGTAGTTATTATTCCCATTTTACACATAAAGAGACTCAGGCATGAAGAAATTAAATTATTTGCCAAAGGTCACGAAGCAAGATTAGGATTCTACTTAGACATAACTCCAAAGCCCATGTTCTGCTTTTGTGGAAAATGGTGAGTCTACAAAGAGGGAAGTACATCTCATCACCTAGGAACAAGAACAATTTTCAGTAGACAATTGACTCCAACAATTACATTTAAAACTAACATGTCTGTCTCACAAAAATATCACGGTAAAGGTATATTACCATTTTTTAAGAGAAAGATTTTGAAAATTGCCCATGGTCACAAGATAGGTCAATGGTGATGCTGTAAAGCAAATCAAACTATCCTTGGAACCAATTTCTGCTAGGCTATACCATCAAAAGGAAAAAGAACTAATGAGTTGGATTTCCACTAGATACATCAGGTGAAAGGAGTCTTTTTTAAGTTATTAAGAAATTGTCAATTAGGAAATAAACTTACAGGTTTGGGAGACTCAGTGGTCAGCACAAATGGCAGATGACTTACGCAAATAGCCTTGAGATAATGCAAACTAAAATTTGTAATTTCTTACATCTCCAATCAGGTCGAATGAAGTAAGTTTAAAGCATTAATACCAAGGTGAGTTTCAAAAATTTAAGACAAAGCAATGAAAATAGCCAGATAAGCTCTGGGAACCAGGGTGTATATCAACTCTACATACTCAGTAAGCAGAAGCCTATGATTTTTCTCACACAAGAACTTACAAAGGAAGATTCTACCACTGGAAGTACCTACCTTTATCAAGTTTTAGGCACATGAACTCTCCACTTCTGGAATTCTGGGTTAAGAGGAGACCAGACTCACCTACATGATGACTAACCAATAGCAAAGTGTTCTAGTCAATCACGAGTACTTGAGGCTTTAAGAAAATGGTAACAGGTCTAATTGCCAGTTCCATAACCCATCTTAAGAAATAAAAGATTGTCAGTCAAATAGCTCACCTGGGGAGCGGACTCCGGCTCAGAGACCGCTTGCTCAGGAAAGGGCTGCTGGACCGCCTTCGGCCATAAGGACTGGGGGATCTCCCACTGTAGGAGCCACTCCTTTCATAGCTGGATGAACGTCGCCGGCTGTAGGGACTCACCGACCTCTGTCGTCTACTGTAGGGACTGGGTGACCGGGTGCTGGACTGGTAGGCCGAAGGCTCCTTGTAAGGGGGGCTGATTGACTGCCTTCTTGAGGTACTCCCAGGGCTCTTTTTGTAGGAGTCATAATTGCTAGAGGTGTGCGATCTTGGGGGACTAAGCTCATAATCTTGGCCATAAGAAGCTCCTGAGGGGCTATCATCTTGCTTAGGGCTGTCCGACCATTTCCGGTGGGGACTCCTGGATCTCCGTTTGGGGCTGTCCACTGTTTTGTAACTTTTGGGTGTTTCCCTTTTCCGATGACTTTTACTCCGATCTTTATGCCCAGACTTCAACTCACGTTCTTTCCGGATCTTCTCCTTATGGAGTTTGGATGATCTGGACTCCTTGTTGCTGCTACTTTTGGATATCTGCGCCTTCCCATAGTCATCATTCTCCTCATTGGAACGCTTTGAACTTCCTGAGATCCTGTCCTTCATTGATCCCGACTTGCTGGAGGCTTCCAGGTTTTTTCCTTTTTCCGACTGTTTAGTTTTTAGTAAGTCCCGGGAACGTCTGTGCTGGTGGTGGCGATGTTTGTGCAGGCGGTCACTCCGATCAGTTCCACGACGTTCATCGTTCTCCCTCCGGTCTAGTTTGAAGGCCATGTCGTCAGAGAAGGTATCAGAATCAGAGCTAATGTCATCATACTCCACCAAAGGTTTGATAATTGTACCCAAAGGTGCTGCTTCGGGGGTCACCAAGCCCATGTCTTTGGAGTGCTTGGACTTATGCCGCTTGTGCTTCGACACCAAGCGGTGACGCTCTCTGCTGTTGGAGCTGCCACCTCCCGATGACGGCTGCAAAGTTCCAGAAGCTCCTCCACTCCCGTCCTTCTTGCCCCCATGTCTCTCTGGATTGGGCATTCCCTTACCCCTGGCCTCAAAAAGGGGAAAAAGTTCCCCAGCACTCCAAAAAGTCACCCCCACCCTCCCCCCCAACCCCAACCCCACGCCTACCAAAGCGCCCCTTCAAGGGGGTGGGGAGGGAAGGGACGGTAGCCCAGGCTCCTCCTCCCTCCCGACTCCTCAGCACCCTCCTACATGAGGTGGGGGGGGGTGAAGGAGCCAGGGAAGAAATGAGAGTTCCTCAGCAATGGAGTTGCGAGACAACGGGTAGCCGCTCAAGTCAGTTTCCCCTCCTCCCCCAGCCGAGACAATCCCCAGGCCCAGGCGCCGGGGAGGTCGAGGAAGTAGGAAGCCAACGGCCCGGTGCTGAGGGGCCGACTCCGGCTCCGGGGCCCTGTGAGGACTGCGCGGGCCCTTCCCCTACCCGGTAGCCCGGCTCGGGGCGGCTTCCTGTCGCTGGGGTCCCGCGGCCTAGGTGCCTCACGCCCCCTTTGTCCCTCGCTCCTGAGGGAGCCCCTTTTCTAGCTTCCGCCTCACCTCAACACCTCACACACTCGCTCCCTCACACAGACTCACAGTCACACACTAGGTTAAACCGAAACGGCACTTAGAAGGGGGGGGAGGGGGTAATCCCAGGAAATATCGCAAGAATCTGCTGGATTCTCGCGGTATCTTGTGCTTCCCTTTCACCTCTCGCCGCTGCTTGCTCAAACAACGCGAGAGCAGGTCCCGAGCAAGAAACGCCAGATTCTCGCGATAAGATCCTGGCTCCCCATTTGAGCAAAGCCTTATCGAAACGGAGCTAACAGGAATTTTTTTAATTTAAAACTTTATTGATAGATCATTGAACAAATATATATTCTCAAACTCTGGCGCAAACTAATTTTTCCATACTTTTTAACAAGTTTAATTACCTGGGTGAAAATATGGTCAACAGGACAAAGGGCTAATGTGGAGACATTTCAACAAAAGTCCCTAGATACTAACAACCTTTCCCACTTACATAGCGTATACTACGTGCATTATCTCTAATTCTCTTGCTGCCTGCAGAACACGATTTCCTGATCCCTATTTTTACAGCTAAGGAAACTCAGACTTCGTTAAGGAACTTATTTAGGGCATCAAGGGCCAAAGATTCAAATTCATGTCTGACACTAAAGTACAAACTCAAAAAGAGAAGAACAAAAACAAAATAAAGAAAAAAAAACCTAAAATACAAGCTCTTTCGTTGTGTGGCACTCTTTCCGTTCTGCTTAAACTCTTAAGACCTTGAAAGCTCATCACCTCTTGAGATCATCTCAAGGATCTTCTGGAATCATTTAGCCTTTTATCTTCACACAGAAGATTATAATCATGAACAAGCAAAGCATAATATTCATGAGCAAGAAAAAGTACCTTACACTGCCTCTCACTTTTTCTTTTTTGAAATTCCTTGGCACACACTCCATCTTCACTCTGAAATAAGATTATGTTCGTGAGGAGACTAAGTCATAAAGAATCAGTGACTTGTCCAAGCTTCCTCATTCTTTTCATCAATAAATATTTATCTGTGACTTGACGGTTCTTTACTGTGTAACAGTGTCCACTTGAGGGCCTCAAGTAGGATATAGGCAAGATATTCATATCACAAGATAAAAGGTGGTAAATGTCGTAAGAATGATACAGAGCAGTGTGGAGATTGAAAAGGAGTTTAGGAATGTTAAGAGAAAGCGTTTATAAGAGACTTTCGAATTCGGCTAGGAAGAGTGGATAAGATTTGTAATATGCAAAGATGGGAAGATCAGCCAGTAAATAAGGAGCCAGAAAACATTCTGAATGAAGGCAGAAAAAATCACTTTCAAAATCACTCCCTGAAGATGGAGTGGGTATAGCTCAGTGGTAGAGCATGCCTGAGGCCCTGGGTTCCATCCCCAGTACCTCAACTTAAAAAAAAACCAAAAACTCCCCCTGAAAATGTTCTTGTTGCTTTGGGTCCCATGGGTACCCAAAAAAGTTTTTCACCTAAATGTTTGAGTCCATACATCTTGATTAAAAATGAAACAGACCAAGTTTTTCATGACGAAAAAGACCAAAGTTTTTCATGACAACTTTTAAATCATCTATAGAAGCAAAAATAATACTATCAAGAAAAAAAAGGAAAGAGGATAGAACTAAGTACTGGAACTCAAGTGTGGTAACTCCTCATTTTCATTGCTGCCAGAAGGCCTGGATTAAAGGTCTCTCCAGTGTCTGACATGATGGCAGATGGCATGAGACTTAATGGGCCAATTAGATGAAGTGACTGACCCATCTTATTAAACATTGGCATGAGTTCAGCAAAATTATTATGATTTTTTTGTATCTATTATTTTTCTATTAGATCAAGTTTTTGACCTATGAGGCACCCACACCCACAATAAAATGGAAAAGTGGGGAATGAATTACAATGATGTGTCAAACAAAATCTTGAAGAATAAAATTCATCATCCAAATTAATCCAGCATCATTCCAACAGCAGAAATTTATCTGTTTGTTGCCTATTGAGGCAGACTAGAGACCCCTAATGAATGACTGAATGAGCTTTCTACTGAATTTTTATATCTTATAATTTCTACAGCACATTTCAATTTTCCACAGAACTCTTTTAAGCCTATCAATAAGTATCAGCTGAACAAATAAATAACCTGATAAAGTGGGTTATATAAAGGATGGATATTATTATATGCAACTAAAGGCTGAAACTGACACTCAGGAGTCAGAGCACATGTACTCTAGTAGTAAATGCTAGGAGCAGGGACAGCTTTCTTTAATCCTAAACCAGTTACTCCTGTTGCACTGCACTTTCTCTTTTTGGTGGATAAAATTCTACTCTAAAGTCAAGTATATCTCAATAAAGCTGGGAAAAATTCTATTCTAGGAAATCTCAGATTGCGTCTAAATTTTTAAATACAAAATCGACTGTAAACTGCTGGGATTAGTCCAACAACTGATGAGAGCTATGCCTTTGTGAAATAAGGGTTGCTTAACTCTACAGAAAAACTTTGAACTCAGAAATTCCAGGACTGCATGATTTGCTTTATTTGCATGACCTCCCAGGGCAGGGAGTCAGGGCAACTCTGGGAAGCCCTAGGTGATTAGTCAGGAGATGACTATAGTTTCCCTGTAAATGCCCCCCCCCCCAAACAAGTCAGAAAGCTTCTCTTTAGGCTGTACACACACAAAAAAATATTTAATTATAGTCATAATAACTTCCCCCACTGCCAAATCCAGTTTGTTAATTTAGATTTTAGGTTTAAAGAGTCCTCTAAACTCTCCCCCAAAGCTTGGTCATTTAATATTTGCCCTCATCCCCTTCTTGCCACGTATGAAGATTACTTTTATGTGTACCTCTAATGTTTTTCTCATTTAATGACATGTTTCTCATATCTTTATTTTTAGCATACAAATTTTTCAATGTCATTTCATTTGTATTTTCAAATGAGAACTTCTCATTCTATTCTGTGACCAAAATTTGGTAAAGTTTAGTTAATTTTCAAGCTTTATAAGATTTAACATTTCCTAGCTACACTTAGTACAGACATTATCGTTTATTTGCAGAGAGCGCCCATGAGGAAATGTACATCTGTATCCAACAGTGATATTGGGGCATAAGAATAAATTAACAAAAAATTCTGGAGTGCTTACAATTATAGTGACCAATCATATTTTAAGAACAATAAATCAAGGGCTGGGGCTCTGTTTTCAAGTTTATATTACCAGCTTCTAATACAAAAGGATTAGGACTTCGTGGATGTTTGTTGAATGAAGAGCACTTTGTTTGACCAGAGGAAAGGAAAAAGCTTTTTAAATATGGACTCTTTGGAAATTCTCACTTGCATAAATGCTCTCTGTACTTCATCAACTGTACGGTTGCTAGCTTTATATTATATAATATTTGGAGCATACTCTTCTACTAAAAGAAATCTGTTGATTTTCTGAAAATCAAGTTTAACTGAGTGTTCTGTATTTTATCTATCAATTTATCCCAACAATACGCATTGAGCCTCTGATACAAGTCAGGAGCTAGGCTAGGCAGTATCACTACACAGGAGTAAAAGAAATAGACCTAGTGCAGCTGCCTTCCTGGATTTCAGTTTAGCAGGGAAGACAGGCATTAAATATATTTTTATGTACTTAATTAATTTTGATAGTGAAAGTGGTGTTAGAAGTTTGAAATAACATAATAGGACCTGATCAAGTCAGGGTTTAGAGAAGGCTTGCTTCTCTAGTTTAGGGCAAGAGACTTTTAAATTGAGATCTGAATAAGAGGGCCTTAGTGGAGTGGAGGGGGGAGGGGGAGGGGAAGTCCACCCAGCAGTTAAAAAGACCTGTTCAAAGGACCTTGGGAGAGGAAGGAGTGACGGAATTTTCTCCACATTGAAGGTTTGAGGCTGAGGTTTGGGTTTCACGAGGCTTTTTAGGCCCAGTAAAAAGATTTGCCTACTACACCCAGGTACAGTGCTAGGTAGTGGGGATTCAGAAATGAGGGGCAATTCTTGCATCAAGAGCACAGTGTAGAGTGACTCAAAGCAATGAGAGTAAGAGGAATAGACAAGAAGTAAAATTTAAACTTTACAACATGGTTATAGATAGCTTTATGGCAATAAACACGTTCCCAGACATTTGTAAAGATTTGTTCTCATTAAATTTACACTGCTGTGTCTGCTCATCTGAACTATAGTTACCTGCTGGAATGGCTTTGGAAGATGTTTGCATATCATTTTTGAAATAAGGGGAAAGTCTGAAACTAGAGAGCCAATAGAAATACATTGCTTAATATTCTTGCAGCAAACTAGTTAAAATCCATCTTCTCAGCAGTTATTCTCGAGGATGTGTATGGAAAAAGAACATAAAAAATAAAGTAGCCTTATTATTCTCAGAACTTTCACCCAATGAAATATATACCCAGTGAACAAAATACACTTGCATTTTAGCCTAGTTCTTCAGTTCCAGTGGCCATAAACTTCTCAGCGTTATTCCAAATTTCTCTTTGTGAAGATTTACTGATACATGAGATATGACTACAAACTCTTTCTGGTTTGTAGAGTATGGGCTAAACTGCTTCCTTTCACTATGATTACAAAAAAGGGACACAAACAACTGTGAACACCTTTGGGACCCTAAATATAATTACTAGCATCTGACGCTGTGACTGCTGCCAACAAGTCTATCTTAATACAAACTCTCCCAGATTTTCAAAAACATTGGAATTGCTCAAGAAAAAATATTTCTGAAATTAAAAAGAAAATCAGGAAATGTAAATTAAGTATACAGGGCTAGCTTGGGACGTCGTGTTACAAAGAGCCACCATCTTTTTTAATGGAATAATTATACCACCTAGTATCTCAAGAAAGAGTATTATCTTTAATAAAATATTCCTGATACCCATATTCGTTGAAAAGCTAGTCTTTCAGTAAAGAGAGTTGGGGATATTAATTTGCGAACTGCTTAAACGCCAAAACGAAGCGCCAATTTTCCCAAATCAGTCGCAGGTGGCAAGCTCCATACCTAGCACCGAGAAGTCTGAGACACCCGCGAGGGAAGGCACAGTGGGAGGAATCTCGCGAGAAGCAACATATTATCCATTTCCCGCGATATTTGGTACCCAGCCCTTTTCCTCTGTCTCGCAGGATCACGGTTAATCTCGCGATCTTTGGGAAGTTCCGTTGGGGAAGATGGCGGCGGCCGCGAGCACCCTTCTCTTCTTTCCGCCGGGGACTTCAGACTGAGCATTCTCGGGACGAGTAGGGACTGCTGGTGCCCTGCGTCCCGGGAGCCCGAACCAACCTGGTTCCTCCATTAGTGGTAGGGAAGGGCTTATCCTCTTGTGTAGGACTCAGGCCCTCCCCGCCGTCAGGATGAAGGCTCAGGGGGAAACCGAGGGTGAGTGACTGTGGGGGAAAGCAGGAGGCGGGACACAGCCGGGCGAGCCAATCTCTGAGAGGAGCTGGGGGCCGATGCCTCCGTGGGGGCCACTCTCCTGAGGGCGCAGAGTCTAGGAGGCGGGGTATGTGTGAGTTTTAGATTCTGACTGTACCTTCCCCGGTGACGGAGAGCTCCGACTTTGGGGAGATAGGGGCTCTCAACTTCTGTAAAGGTTTCCTGCTTATCTAGGGGCAGTCACTTAGACCTCAGAGCGTTTTTAGCCTAAAGAGATGGGAGACCAGGCGAGTAAATCTAAAACTTGCTCTTTTCAGAAGAGACGTCTTGATGATGACATAGAAACAATAATACAGAGCTGTATATCAACGTTGATGATGACATAGAAACAATAATACAGAGCTGTATATCACAGCACGGAAGATGTTCTGGCTTGAATGAAATTATTAGGTCTTTATGATATTAAAAGCCAGCAGTTCTCAAGAATGTACAGTGTTCAGACCTTGTGCTGTTGTATATTTTTAAAATGCACTGAATTTCAGTTTTTCAGTGGCTGAACTAAGAACTGCTGAAAAACAACTTTTCTGTGTAACTTTACTTAGACTCTCTAAAGTTCCACACTCCAGGTTAAATGCTTCCTTAGCATTTTGGGTATAGTTCTACTAATACAGCACACTGTTATATACCTGTCCTGTCTAATTTATTCTGAGCTTTGTAGATCAGCACTTTGCCTTACTCATCATTGTATAGTCCCTGGCACGGAATAGTTGCTCAGAAAAGTTTGATTTGAGCATTCTTATAAAGACGAAGAAAAAAGTGTACTCCTTGGGTGCAGAAGAATGACAAGTGTAAAATGGAAACTCGATGAGGCAGGAATTTTGTCTAGTTTGCTCACTGCTGTATCTTCCGCATGTAAAATAGTGCGTGAGTGAATGAGTCTTAAAAGTGGGAATTGCCAGACATTTCTCTGGGACTATAAACTAGCTGAAACAGCCACCAAACCAGTTTTCCAGAAGATGAGGCATTGGAGAAAGAGTTGAATCTTGATTTAGAAGATGTTGCTGCCTCAACTTTGCTGACATTTTGTTCATCTTTCAGTGACACCTTCTTTGTAACATCCCCACAACTAATTATGAACTTTTCATACTTTGAATTTCAATAGTAATGTGTCTCTCTGTTTTTAAGAGTATATCTCATTTTGCTTTGTGTGATGGTTATTTTCACATTAACTTACTCACACCTCATCACAGGTCTCATCTTAGGCATATCGTTTTTGCACTGCCAGTGGTCTTCAGCACAGGTCCTTGTTAATGCGAAGCAGTACGAGAATTAGAGGAGGATTGGAGGTTGGTTCACACACTTAATCTGGGAGCCTCCTAACTCTGCTGAAAACTCATCCTTTAGTCATTGACATCTTCCTTGTTCATACAGTTTTACTTTGAATTCAAATAAGAAAAATCTGAATGGCAAATACAGCCTGTTTTCTTGATAACACTTATAAATTGATCTCATAAAACTGAAAAAAATTAAAGTCTGTATTTTCACATTGAAAACCAACTAATCATAGTAAGGCCATGTTTAAATGTATGCTCTACATATACTATGTAAGGGATTTCACGTATGTTATGAAATTATTTTGTCACTAAATGGTAGTCTTGATCCTGGAACATGATTAGAGATGGTTCTTTTTGCGGTTCTCATTAAGTTTTAATAGAAAGCAGCCCCATTCTATGGTGTTCTTTAGATTAGACCCATAGTTTGTGTGTCTTCTTGTCATTAAAAATGGATTCTTTGTATGTTTTGAAGTAAATGATATTGGAAAAGATTTTGAGTTCTTACCAGGATGAAGTATGGGAGTTTTGTTTGCAAGAACAACTGTGGAAGGTCTTGAAAGAAGAGTTTCTAATGATGTTTTCTGATTTATATCTTAGAGTCGGAAAAGCTGAGTAAGATGAGTTCTCTCTTGGAACGCCTCCATGCAAAATTTAACCAAAATAGACCTTGGAGTGAAACCATTAAGCTTGTGCGTCAAGTCATGGTGAGGACTGTGGTGAAGTGGATAAAGTATTGTGCTTAGATAATTATTTAATAAGCTAAACTCCCTGTGTAGACTTTTTCAAACTAGTTACTATAGTGGGTCTTCAGTTTTATTACCATAAAACACCTGAATACACGGAGGCTTTCAGCTTTAAAGAGTCTACCTAAGAAGGAGGTATATTTATAAAATTGTATTAATCATGAGTTATAGTACACTGGGGTATTTTAGGCAGAGGTGCTAAGAAATAACACCTCTAAGAGACATGTGTGATAGACTGGTATAGAGAAACATTTATTTTTCACTTCCTGTCAAGCTCCTTGATTCTAATGTGACAGTACTTTCATTGTATCTATCCTACTAGTAGGGTTTGCAATTCATTTTATTAACTTCAACTGTTTACTCTGTGACCCTCTTTCTCTACAGTACCGCTTCTCCTTCCTGATGCATTCACCAGTATGAGGAGCCCTTAGTTAAGTGGAAGACAGGGGGTCGGGGTTGGGAGCTGGATGGTAAAAGTTCATCCATGTGATTTCAGTGGTAGTAAAATGATGTAGGAAAACTTTACTTCTATGATTTGACCTGGGCAATGGTTATATGGATGCATTCACTTTATAATAATTCAAGGATCTCTTCATTAAAGATTCATGTACTTTTCTGTATACATGTTATACCTCAATGAAAGTACCCCTTCCTCTACCAGATCTTATAATGGGTCCAGAGTACATTGTTTAGTAGATTTATTAGAGTTTAAGATGGTCATATTACTATAGCATTAGTAAAAGAACACACTTTGCTGTCATAGACTTGTATATTAGGCTTGACTCCAGTTATTCTACCTACAGGACCTTGGACAAATTATTTGTTCTCTCTGATTCTCAGTTTCCTCATTTGGAAAGTAGACATACACAATACCAGTTTGCTTTTTCACAAAGTTTTGCTGCAAGGATCAAATGAGATAATGGACGGCAAAGTGTCATATTACTAAAAGATTTCTGTAACTAAATTCTACAAATATATGTGTGTTCTGGCTCAGGATTGTGTACATAGAAGTTTTTTTTTTTCCCCCAAGTCTTAAATAAAAGAATGGCAATTTTTCCAGTCTGGGAGTTCAGAGGCTGTCATTTTATACTGTAAGGCAGTAATATTCTAGTTTGAAATATGGTCTATAAATGATACTGTCATTAAAGAGACATCATGAGATAGAAGGTCACCATAGCTTCCATTGTCTACTTCTCACTTTTGCAGATTCAGTAACCTAATTTTATTGGTATATAAAAAGATTTTGAAGAGTTTTCAACAACTGACATACTAACAAAATCTCAGATTAACATGGAAATCAGACTGCAAATTTATTAATTTACAACAGAGGGTTTATCTTTCCAGTTACCAAAATACTGGTATCTATTGTCCAGAGCAGTGGACAGGCTCCTTGTCTATTTAAGGTAAAAGGGAAGCCAGATTATTAATTAATCAGATGTTTGTTTTGTCAGAGTGGAATTAGAGCAAAGAGAGATGGACTTAGGGCATAGAAAAGCCTGGAAAGCTATCCCTCCCTGTATTATAAAACTGTTCACACTTCTGGGGACTGGAATGCTGGCAGACAGAAACTTCTTCCCTGGATAGGGTTAGAAAAACTGAGTTTTTTTGCTGTTTGGCTTTTTTTGGACTACATACTCTGTTTCTTAGAGTCATAATTTGCCTAAGATCTGGTTGTATTTCTTAGGTTGCATGCTTATCACCTTATTATACTTAGGAATTGCCAAATTTGAGCCACCCCATTTAACTGACTGAATCTTAGGATGTCGTTTTCTTCTGTAGAAGGTTGATCTGATTTATCACATTTTGATTCTTCCTAATTTATTACTGAAAGTTAACTTATTTTAGATCTGAAAGTACCTTTTTCTACTTTCATGGATATGGATGTGTCCGTGTATGTTTGCATTTCCTCTTTTGGATGGATGGATAGAGTAACAGTTAAGAGTCTATAGATTATCTAGAATATATAGAAAATATAGAGTATATGGACTATGCCATAATCTATAGTCTATCCTGAAATACTATTACTAGGATAATGTGTATGTTTATCTGAAACACTGTTGGCTTGGTTAATTTTTACCTCAAATGTTTTCCTAATTAATATAGGAGAAGAGGGTTGTGATGAGTTCTGGAGGGCACCAACATTTGGTCAGCTGTTTGGAGACGTTGCAGAAAGCTCTCAAAGGTTTGTAAACCTCTTTGAAATATTGCTGATTTCTTAGAATCTCCCAGTTTAGGAAAGACTATTTTACACTTATGCTGGAAATATAAATTGAGATAGGTCAGCATTCTATGCTAGGTGTTGCTCTTGCTTTCATTATGGAGTTGAAGTGAGCTCTTACCTTTACTTTAGAAATACTTATTTTTGATTCATTTTGGAGGCTGGTAGAGACTCAAAAGATAACTGTTGAAGGGTAACTATAAGGCAGGGAAAGTTGTTTTTTTTTTTCCACTTCATGTGTTCCCTCCTAATTAACTCAAGAAGAAGATGGACATTTCTACAATGTTTATAAAGAATGTTTTCAGGAAAGCAGACAAGATTCAAATCATGAGCTTGATTATTCATGCTTATAATTACTACTTGACTGTTTTTGAAGGAAAATGAAAGTGAAAACAGATTTTTCTTTGATCCATCACAAATGAATCAGCTGATTATTTTTTAAATTGTGGTAAAATGTCCATAACATAAAATTTACCTTTTTTAATCATTTTTAAATGTAAAGTTCAGTGCCATTAAGTACATTCATGTTGTATAACCATCACTGCCATCCATCTCCAGAACTTTTTCATCTTCCCAATTGAAACATTACGCATTAAACAGTAACTCTTTTCTCCTCTCCCCAACTCCTGGTAACCACCATTCTATTTTCTGACTCTAACAATTTGACTACCCTAGATACTTCATTTAAGTGGAATCGTAGTATTTGTTCTTTTGTGACTGGCTTATTTTACTTAGCATAATGTCTTCAAGGTTCATCCATTTTGTAGCATGTATCAGAATTTCCTTCATTATTAAGAAAGCTGAATAATATTATATGTATATACCACATTTTGTTTATATATTCATCCACTGATGGACATTTAAGTTATTTCCACCTTTTGGCTATTGTGAATTGTGCCACTGTGAAATAGCATGTTTGTTTTTATGTTGGTTTTGATGTTAATCTTCCTTATTCTAGCATTAGCAGATAAATGTGTCTTTTTTGAGCTAAAGATAACTTGTCCTAAATGAATAATGGAAAAGTAAGAGGAGAAAGGTCAAATAATTTTTTTTCAAATAGGTCTTTTTTTTTTTTTTTCACCTTTATTACTGCTTAGGCCACAGTTAAGCCTTACCAATGAACTTTGTGCAGATTATAAGCATTTGAACTACTGAATGTGTTTGTGGCTTTGGAAGGATGGATATACGCCTCAGGATGTTTCTGTTTTTGAAGAATACAATTTAAGTTATTTGGAGCATCCTTTGTGATTTCCTTTTTTCATCCTTTTATAGTAACATCTTTACCAGCAATGACTGACCGTTTGGAGTCTATAGCAAGACAAAATGGGTAAGTAGCGTATCTGTAGGCAGAAATGTTTAACTTAGTGTTGACTTTGGGTGGCTTTATTTATGTGTCTTCTATTAATTTTTGTTTTGATTTGTTCCTGCTAGACTGGGCTCTCATCTCAGTGCCAGTGGCACTGAATGTTACATCACGTCAGATATGTTCTATGTGGAAGTGCAGTTAGATCCTGCAGGACAGCTTTGTGATGTAAAAGTGGCTCACCATGGGGAGAATCCTGTGGTATGTGTTGTTGATATTTCACTGGAATCTGTGGGGTTTACTTAGGGACATTAATTTTAAGAGGAATTGTTGGGGTTTGAAGTAGCTTGGGTTTAGGTTTTTTCATGAGCCACTATAGAGATGATGTGATGGGCCACAACATCAATAGCTATAGAATGGAATTTAGAGTAACATGGGTCCATCTCTGACATCATCCAAAGGCTTTGACAAGAAGAAACAGCAGAGGAACCCTTTCCATTTCGTATCAACAAACGTGAGCCGCAATTGAGCAATAGGTGCTGGGGATACAGAGATAAATAATTTAAAGTTCCTATCCTCAAAGAACTTATAAACAAGAAAGACAGATAATCTTGTACATAGCTAATGTCTCTGAAAAATCCTGTAATAGAGATGTATGTAAAATGTGTGTAACAGACAGTTGGATATGGATTCCAAGGATGGCTTTAAAGAGAGGTCCTCATGTTTTAAACAAGCTAGTGAAAGTTGATTGCCTTATAAACTATTTCATATGTTTTGATCTTTAATTTCCCAATCCCATGGTTTACCAAGTAGGAAGAAGATACTTTTTGATATCTTAATATAAGGACTTTCTATAGTTTTACTGTTTTTTGTTATAGAGCATGTTGTTAATAAAAGAAAAACTTTGATGTCTTCAAAGGTCTTAAACTAGCTTGAAGTTTTAATGTAATTTCTTTAATTTCAGAGCTGTCCAGAACTTGTGCAGCAGCTAAGGTGAGCAAACGACATTTATATTCCCTGATACTGGCAGTGCTTTTCTTTTATAGCTAGATTTTGAGGATAGTCAGAAGTTACTTTCCTGAGGAACAAATTTATTTTCTCAGTCAAGATTTTTCAGAGTCTGTACTTGTTCACTTTCAGAGTTGACTTAGCTTGATTTCTTACCCTATTCTATCTATCCCAGGGTTTCTCAACCTTGACAGTATTGACAGTTTGGACTGGGAAATTCTGTGCTCTAGGGGGCACCCCAGTTCACTGTAGGATGTTAATAGCATCCCTGGTCTCCCCGATTAGTGGCCAGTAATATCTCCTGAGTTATGACAGTCAAAAATACCTCCAGATATTGTCAGATGTCCCCTGGAGGACAAAATCACTCATGTTTGAGAACTACTGATCTAACTTGAGGAATTCTGTGTGGAACAAAAATAAATTGAACCTAATTATTGAGTCAGAGAAGGCTTGAGAAAAATTGAGTTTATACCGTGAAAAGAACTTTTTTTTTCACTTTAATTTTGAGAAAAATTCTTTTATATTTAAGGTATAAAGTTCCCATCATAGTAAAGCGCTAGGCTTGAAGACAGTCTCTTAGCAATTGATGTTTTTCCCCGACTGGCTTATCTTTGCTCTTTGAATTACGTGAAAACTTGCATCCTTAAATTTAAACCCAGAGTTAATTTTCTGGGAATTAGAGAAATTTATTACATCAATTTTATGTTTTAAATATAGTGAATTTACCAGATATCACATGGAGGTATCTTAGGAAAAAATGTTAATATTGAGGAAATAAGTTTTATACTCAGCCTTCTCAATGATCAGTTTCATGAACTTATAGCCAAATACACCAAATTTGAACCAGCTTTGAAAAACTGCAATGCAACATAAAAGATAGCCTTTTTATGAATTCATTGAATCAACACATCAAGCAACGGTATATTACCAGAATAGTCCAGGAAGGCAACGTTTCTGGTTCTAATGTGACCTGTGCTAATTTATGAACTGGTGGTCTAAAGTTAATTTGTAGGCATGTTTGGAAGTGAGAACCTTAAAAAGAATATTAACTTTTACCTGATATTTTTAATCTCTTTGTACAGATGGTAATTTTAAGATAGGGAATATATTTTGCTGCTGCTCTTGTTGCTTTTTACTTCTTCATGGCACCTTGGGCAGTAAGTGTTCAATAAATGCTCAGTAAATGCCTTACCACATGTCTGACATTATCGGAACAATTTAGCTTTCAAGAGACATTTTTTTTCCAAGTTTGAAAAAAGATATAGAGAGTTAGAATTATTGAGTGTGTTGGATTCCTAAGCCTGCCCACAAAAGTTCATTTGGCTAAGAATCCATGCCTGAATATTGGGTTCATGGTAGTAGTTTCTTTTTCCTGGGGTAAATCTAGTCATAGGAACATTTTGTTGGAATACGTGGTTTGCCTCCACAGTACCAATTCCCCTTTTTCTTAGCCTCCCATCTCTCTCCTAGTGTTCATTTTCTTTCTCTTGCCATGTACATGCAAGTGTTCTATCTTCCCAGTTTTTTTACTTATGTTTTCTCTTCAATCAAAAGTTATTTTTCCTCATGCCATCCAATCTCGGTTACAAATTAAGTGGAAAAGAAAGTGATTTATTTAACCACATCTCATTACTTAAGAGCAAATTAGTATATGAATTATGAAGTCTCTTTGACTATCTTTTATACTGCTTATTGGCACCTTTCTCCAGAAAAATGGGCAGAGAAAGGAAAACATTGCATTCCCTTTTGCTACTTTTGATCAATTCTAGAAGACTTTGGGGATGGGGAAGAATAAAGCAAATTATTAAAATTAGTTTTTATAACCATGATTTTTGGCACTTTGCTGATAAAATTGAGTAATAATTGTATGTTTTATTCTCCTTCCTCTCCCCTCTTCCCTGAACTCCTTATAGGGAAAAAAATTTTGATGAATTTTCTAAGCACCTTAAGGGTCTTGTTAATCTTTATAATCTTCCAGGGGACAAGTAAGTATTTTTATTTTTTGCTTTTGTTGGAAAAATCAATATAAATCTGTAAACCATTTGTGATTAGAAATTTACCAAGTCTTCTGCCCTAGCTCATTTGTGATTTCAACTCATACTAACAGTCTGTAGCTCAGCTTTCAACTTACTCTTTTTTTTATAACTTTTTTTCTTTACTGAAGTATAGTTGATTTACAATGTTATTTTTAATTTTTTTTTTAACAGAGGTACTGGGGATTGAACCTAGGACCTCGTGCATGCTAAGCATGCACTCTACCACTGAGCTATACCCACTCATAGAGCTTAATGTCTTTTAAAGTTGTTTTAAATAAATAATATCTGCATTATTGGATTATATTGCTAAAGATAAATTATAATCCTTGAGATATCTTCAACATACTAATTTCAAGGCTGAAAGAAATTTGTTGTTATGGAACCAGGTTTTCATTTTTATTTTTAACCTACCTGAGATTCTGTTAACCTGCTTGGCTTCTTTTCTTTCCTTTTCCTTTCTCTTCCGTTTCTTTTTGTTTCTTTTCGTTTCCTTCCCTTCCCTCCCCTCCTCTTTCTTCTTTCTTTCTTTCAAAAGATAATTAAATTTATGTCATTAAAAATAATTTTTTTTTAATGGAGGTACTGGGGATTGAACCCAGGACCTCATGTATGCTAAGAACTCGCTCTACCACTGAGCTATACCCTCCCCACCTTGATTTTTTTCTAACCATTTTAAAGGGTTTTTTTGTTTTGTTTTTTGTTTTGGTAAATTATTTCGGTTGCTTCCAATGTAGACTTGCTTTCTAGGCTTTCAGTGTTTGTGTGTGTGTGTGTGTGTGTGTATTTTTCAACTATTTAATTCTGGTTTTCTTCATTTACTCTCTAGCAAACTGAAGACTAAAATGTACTTGGCTCTCCAATCCTTAGAACAGGACCTATCTAAAATGGCAGTTATGTATTGGTAAGACTGGCTAAGGTGTCATTTTTATTTGACCCTTCTGGGGTCAAGTTTTATTTTCGTCTGTGCATTAGTAGGCTTCTATTTTTTTTAATATATGTTACAGGTGTATGTTACTATACATCTATATTTTACCTATGTTTTACATCTTGCCATCTCCTTTCACTTCCCAAATAATTGCATTCCATTTTCTGAATATCAGTATCCCTGAGTTGTTGGTTGATGTTTAATAGGTTTTATCAAAAGACTTATCAAACCTGGCCTCCCTTCTGATAAATAATAGTATAGTTGTATTTTTTGTTCACCTTATTACATACTGGAGTATACTTGGAAATAATCCCTTCACTTTAAAAATGAAGTACAATTGTTAAAGGTGAATTACAGTTGTCCCACAGACAGAAACAGTAGGATAGAATTACATGTTTAAGAACTGAACTCATTATCACATGGTGCACGAATACCTTCAAGGCTTAAATACAAGCAAACATAGATCATTTGTCTTGCAGGAAAGCAACCAATGCTGGTCCCTTGGATAAGATTCTTCATGGAAGTGTTGGCTATCTCACTCCACGAAGTGGGGGTATGTGATCCTATTTTGCTTCTTTAGAAAAATGTCTACTTTTAGTTGAGTTATTACTTAAAATTTCACCTTGGATTTATAAGAGGGAGATTACCAGTCATTTGTGTCTTTTTAATGATTTCTAAGATGCCAACACCTGCCCTACCCCAATTTTATTTTTTAAATTGTGAGGTAAATTGTTGCTGCTAGAATCAATACTTACGCTTCTGTTGTTTTTCATAAACTGCTGTGGATCATGTGTCCTCATATATGAAACTATTTTATTGTATATAGGTTTATATGAATGAGAATATTTTACTTCGTTTATAATTTATCTGATAAAGATGTAGTCATTAGTTTTATTTTTCATAGGTCATTTAATGAACTTGAAGTATTACGCCTCTCCTTCTGACCTGCTGGATGATAAGACTACATCCCCTATCATTTTGCATGAGAATAATGGTAAGAGTTTAACTGTAAAGCAAGTGAAGCTTTTGCTCAGTATTTTAAAAATATTTTTAAAAATTTGAATGCCTGGGCCTGCCCATACCTTCTCGTTTGCCAGTCCCAAATAAATTTTCCACCCTTACGAGATTTTTCTATTTCTACCAGAGTTGCATCTGATATATACACACACACACCTGTATGTATATACATATGTGTATGTATATACACATACATACGTAATAATAAAAACTTTGTAAGTCCTTTTGAATAAACGAATGAATGAAAAGATGTTAACCATCTGACTTGAAATGGTCTCCATTAATCATTACTTTTAAAGATAAAGAAATTAGCCAACTTACTAAAGAATTTAAAGGATGTTACTTTGAATTTGCACTTTAATATGCTAGAACATAATGAGAAATGGCCTAATACCTCATTTGGTCTCCTTGTAACTTCAATCGTTGACTATCCTATAATCGTAATTCTATTTATTTATTTATTTTTTGGGGGGGAGTAAGATAATTAGGCCTATTTATTTATTTATTTTTAGAGGAGATACTGAGGATTGAACCCAGGACCTCATGCATGCTAAGCATGTGCTCTACCACTTGAGCTATACCCTCCCCCCATAATTCTATTTAAATGCATTCTGAAGTTGGAGAAAATAAGTAAATATTGGTAATGAGCCTTTACATGTTTTTTTCCTTGTACTTCCTGTATTTTATTTACTGACAGAGAAAAATATTGGTTGGTTAGAAAGGTAACTTCTGGCATTTCTAAGTTATACAGGTATTATAGTATCTGACAAATGAGGATGGACAGATTATGCAGAAGTTAGCTTTTTTGTTTTGTTTTGTATTGTTTTTTAATGTTAAGATTCTTATTATTTGTGTTATCTTTTTTCTTTCCTTTTCCCAGTTCCTCGATCTTTGGGCATGAATGCATCAGTGACAATTGAAGGAACATCTGCTATGTATAAACTCCCAATTGCACCATTAATTATGGGGTCACATCCAGTTGACAACAAATGGTAAATTAAATATAATTCTAGGGTAGCAAAGTCCGTTTTTTCAACTTTAAGTTCTTACTTTCACTTGGCTCTTCCCCCAATTGAGTTTCTAGAGATGGGCTTTTTGTTTTGTTCATTTAATTTCTCTTTTCAGTATCTGAATGTTCCACTTTGAAGTCAGCTCATGGAACACATTCTTACTCTAAGAGAGAAAGAAGAGAACTGTGCTGATTCTGCTGGCTTAATGATTGCTCTGTGGGATTTTCTTATGGAACTTTATGTTGATTTAGAGTTATGCTAGAGTAATTACTAGAGAACATCCCTCAGGATATTTGTTTGATAAAATACTGTACTGTATTGTTAACAAATAGGATATTTTGGAATTGGAGGAAGAAAGTTCAATGTGTGTGCTTTTGATAGCCTTTGTGAGTATGTGTTTATATGATACAGAGCATAAGTGTACAGATTTTTTATTTTCACATCAATTCAAAATCCCAATCCTCTACTCTTTTTTTCAAGGACTCCCTCCTTCTCCTCAATCACCAGTGCCAACAGTGTTGATCTTCCTGCCTGTTTCTTCTTGAAATTTCCCCAGCCAATCCCAGTATCTAGAGCATTTGTTCAGAAACTTCAGAACTGCACAGGTGAGTTTTAAGCATCAGGAACTAATAATTGTTATAAAAGTGAAAAGCAAACTTCAAATTCAGATTATCTTAGACCTCTTTGAGTCTTGCAGGCCTCAGAAAAGTACTGGTGGGTATAGATGTCGTGGCGCTTTGTACTAGTAAATGCTTAATAAGTACTTTTTGAATAAATGGATGAATGAAGTAGAAGTCATGAAGGGAAAACTGAGCTGTCAATGTTTTGCTCTTACTGTGATCATCATATTGATCTTTGTTTTTCCAGGAATTCCATTGTTTGAAACCCAGCCAACTTATGTACCTCTCTATGAACTGATCACTCAATTTGAACTGTCAAAGGATCCTGACCCCATACCTTTGAATCACAACATGCGATTTTATGCTGTAAGTAAGGCCCTGTGGATTATTGATTATGTTTGGACTCCAGATCAGAATCTTCCTTTATAGGATTACTGAGGTCAGGTGACATTCTTTTGGACTGCTGGATCATACCCTGTTTCCTTAGTCAGATAGGAAATTATGGAAATCTCTGAAACATACTGAAGAAAGAGAACGAAATTCCAAAGTCAGGACACAATGTACATTTCATTGTTGAAATTTCAGGTGAAAGTCTCTTAATGGTGTTCTGAACTTTTATAAGCTTATAAGTAGGTGTTAAGAATTCTTGTTGTTAAATTCTTTCAAGCGCCATGAGTTTATAATCTGGAAAGTACTTACAAAGAAGAAAATGCTGGAATGAGTAAGTTAAGGAAGGTTTCAGAACCACATCTTGACTTGAATTTATTTGGCTGTTTGACAGTAGTCTACTAAATTAGTACCCAAATTCTGGCTCCATTATAACTATAATAGGGTGTTTTATTAAAAATACAGATTTTGCACTTATGGTTCAGGAAACTCCTTTATGCAGATTTCTGAGGTAATTTTTATGTTAGCTAGGTTAGGAAACCACTAGCAGAACATTTACAAAAAAGGGGTCTTTTCAGCCAAATGAGTAATTGGCATTTAACATCAGATGACCAAAGAATTCACTGTGGAGTTTTATTATTCACCAAGAAATTGCTGACTTTTGAGGAGTAGGTTCTCCCCCCGACCCCCCATGATTGTTTGTGGTTAGAGTACAGTGGGTGAGTAAATACTCTTTGTTTCCTTTGTTCTTTTTGCCTAGGCTCTCCCAGGTCAGCAGCACTGCTATTTCCTCAACAAGGATGCTCCTCTCCCAGATGGCAGAAGTCTACAGGGAACCCTCGTTAGCAAAATCACCTTTCAGCACCCTGGCCGAGTTCCTCTTATCCTGAATCTGATCAGACACCAAGTGGCCTATAACACCCTAATTGGAAGCTGTGTCAAAAGAACTATTCTGAAAGAAGGTACTACCTTTCCTTTTGATATACTTACTGGCAACTGGAAACTGATTAGTAATTCTCTGATTTGGTGGCCCATCATATCACCTGTGCTGCTTTAAAATACAGCTACTTGGCGGGGAGGTACAGCTTGATGGTAGAGCGCATGCTTAGCATGCACGAGGTCCTAGGTTCAATCCCTGATACTGCCTCTAAAAATAAATAAATAAGTAAACCTACCCCCCTATAAATACATACATACATACATACATACATACATACATACATACATACAGATAGATACTTGGTTTCCATACTCAAATGAACTGAGTTAGAAACTGTGGGAGGAGTTGGGAATCTAGTTTAAGCTCTACAAATAATTTTGATAGACCCAATCTGTAAATTGACATTTGGAAACCACTGTGGTTTTTTGTTTGTTTTTTTCCTGCAGTGGACTTGGTCTTTTTCTGCATGTAGTGATATAATTGGGTACCTAAGAGCCTGAACCTTGCAGCAGATACATAAAGTAGAATTTGGGATTCTATAGGAAGAGAGGATTTCTTGATATCTACATTTTAGGTTGTTAGGACAGTGTTTCCCAGCTTTTAGTTCTGAGTATATTTCCTCCCCATTCTTTGGAGAAATAATATAGCTTAAAAAGGGATGAGACGTCTGCCTTTTTCCTTTTCTCCCAGGATTCTGGAATGCTGCTGTTTTTCAAACAGTTTGCTGTTAGAAACCTCAGTGTGAATTTTGGCTGCTCTAGTTAACCATGGTTAATATTTTACTTTAGTTGTAAAGCACTTCAGTGATAGAGATGTTATCAGTGCAAATGGTAGACCAGAAGGAAGGGAAGGTAGACAAGAAATAGGGAAGGTAAATCAGGAGTGGTCTTTTATGGGAATAAGAATTGCTTTAGAAGTGAGACATTTTGGAAAGTTGGAGTAATAACACAGAGCATATGAAAGTATGCTTATGGCCCTTCTATTTCATGTATTTAAATCCTAGGAGAATTCTCCAAATAGCTTGAGGGCATTTAAAAATGAGTTTTTGTAAAACAGTTATGAAGTTATTCCTACAGAGATGCTTGCTCTCTTCCTAAGAAAGTATATGATGTTTGTCTCTGAGCTGCCAGCCTGTTTGACTTCGGAACTGATGATGACATTTACATTTATGTGTATTTGGCATAAATATATCATTTTACATTGTAGCCCCTCTATCAGACTACGGACTGTATGGCTAACAGCTGCAAACACTGATAGAAAGTAGGGTTTATGGCAGTGGTTGTGATACCTGCTTATCAACAGAAAGAGAACCTCCTCTTGGCCACATTTATCTTCAGAATTCACTGTCAAGGCAGGGTGTTTGTATCTGCCAAGGACTTTATCAATTTAGAGGTTAAATGCTATCATTAAAAAAACCCCTGAAGTTTAGTTACTTCATTGTTTTGGAGTATTTATAACATAAACTGGCACATTCCTTGGAATCTGATTCCTTTGGTCACTTGTGGATGATACAGTAGGTTTTGTTTATTTAACATATGTGTGGGATTTAGTTTCCAATGAAGGAGAGAAAGAATTTCATAATTAGGGATTCCTATTTACATGTCTCAAGTCTTATATTTGGTTGATGATTTGGTTGATCCTTTTCTTTGCCTTTTAGATTCTCCTGGGCTCCTCCAATTTGAAGTGTGTCCCCTCTCAGAGTCCCGTTTCAGCGTATCTTTTCAGCACCCCGTGAATGACTCCCTGGTGTGTGGTGAGTTAAATGGGTGGCTAGCACTTCTCTTAGGGCAGCAGTTTGGTCCCTTTATCTTTTTTTTTTTAAGTCAGAAGTTAAAGCTGAAACTATCTTAAATACCTCCTATATATTTTGTCTTTCAGTGGTAATGGATGTACAGGACTCAACACATGTGAGCTGTAAACTGTACAAGGGGCTGTCAGATGCACTCATTTGCACAGATGACTTCATTGCCAAAGTTGTTCAAAGGTAGCACTGGCCCTTTTCCAACAGAGTCCCATTAAAAGGTGTATAAGGAATGTTGTCTTTAGTATTAGTGAATTGGAAACTTAGGAGGAAAGCATTTAGTCACTGCTTTAAATTCACCCTTCTCTGCTTTTGGATGCAAAAGTAATAGGAGTTTTGGTTTTATAAATATCATTATAAGGCTAATAGGCAGTAAGGTAGGTAACTTCAGGCCTAACATTAGCGTTTTTTTATGAGGGAGACAGCTGAAATAAGATGTAGATCTTTTTACTCACTTTTCCTCTGTTGTCATTTTTTAACATATGTAACATGTCAAATGGCAGTATGTGGGAAGATACTTAATAGGTCAGCTTCCTAGAAACATTAATATGTAATTTTGAGATTTTTCTAGAGCAGGTATCAGTGGTCTGTTTAGTAAATAAATTTTATTGGAACACAGCCATGCCTGTTCATTTCCATATTGTCTGGCAGCTTTTGAGTGCATATGGCAGAGTAGTTGGACAGAAATCATATGATCTTCAAAAGTCTAAAATATTACTATCTGGCCCTTTAAGAAAGGTTGCTGACATGTTCTAGAGAAAAATGTTTTCAAACATGTTTATAAATATAAATGTATGTATAACATAAAAAGTGCTTTGCTTTAAAATAAAAAAGATTCCCTTCACAGTATAGCTTTGGGGTGATCTCAGCCATTAAAGGTTAGAACTTGATGGATCAAGAGATTTTTCATCAGTTAAGATAAGTCATATATCCCATTACTCACATGTGAAGCCCCAGAAAGGAGGGCATTTTCTTATGGGTTCATTATTACCATTTTTATTTTAGTTCAGCATGATATCTGATTATTTGGACTCTTGTTAATGGTTGATTTGTTTTTGGTGGCATTTGAACTGCTTATGCCTTTTGGGTTACTTGCCTTACCTAAAAACTGCTTACTGCAAACTTTTTTGCATATCTAAGTCTCAGGCAAAATTAAAGCCTGTTTTCCCAAATGAAAAATTGGTTTCATTTAGCAGCTAGTACAATGTTAACTAATGTTTTTCTTTCTTATTTTACAGATGTATGTCCATCCCTGTGACGATGAGGGCTATTCGGAGGAAAGCTGAAACCATTCAGGCCGACACCCCAGCACTGTCCCTCATTGCAGAGACAGTTGAAGACATGGTGAAAAAGAACCTGCCCCCGGCTAGCAGCCCAGGGTATGGCATGACCACAGGCAACAACCCAATGAGTGGTACCACTACACCAACCAACACCTTTCCGGGGGGTCCCATTACCACCTTGTTTAATATGAGCATGAGCATCAAAGATCGGCATGAGTCGGTGGGCCATGGGGAGGACTTCAGCAAGGTGTCTCAGAACCCAATTCTTACCAGTTTGTTGCAAATCACAGGGAACGGGGGGTCTACCATTGGCTCGAGTCCGACCCCTCCTCATCACACGCCGCCACCTGTCTCTTCGATGGCCGGCAACACCAAGAACCACCCGATGCTCATGAACCTTCTTAAAGATAACCCTGCCCAGGATTTCTCAACCCTTTATGGAAGCAGCCCTTTAGAAAGGCAGAACTCCTCTTCCGGCTCACCCCGGATGGAAATGTGCTCGGGAAGCAACAAGACAAAGAAGAAGAAGTCTTCAAGATTACCACCTGACAAACCCAAGCACCAGACTGAAGATGACTTTCAGAGGGAGCTATTTTCAATGGATGTTGACTCACAGAACCCTATCTTTGATGTCAACATGACAGCTGACACGCTGGATACGCCACACATCACTCCAGCTCCAAGCCAGTGTAGCACTCCCCCAACAACTTACCCACAACCAGTACCTCACCCCCAACCCAGTATTCAAAGGATGGTCCGACTGTCCAGCTCAGACAGCATTGGCCCAGATGTAACTGATATCCTTTCAGACATTGCAGAAGAAGCTTCTAAGCTTCCCAGCACTAGTGATGACTGTCCACCCATTGGCACCCCTGTTCGAGATTCTTCAAGCTCTGGGCATTCTCAGAGTGCCCTCTTTGACCCTGATGTCTTTCAAACCAATAATAATGAAAATCCATACACTGATCCAGCTGACCTTATTGCAGATGCTGCTGGAAGCCCCAGTAGTGACTCTCCTACTAATCATTTCTTTCCTGATGGAGTAGATTTCAATCCTGATTTGTTGAACAGCCAGAGCCAAAGTGGTTTTGGAGAAGAATATTTTGATGAAAGCAGCCAAAGTGGAGATAATGATGATTTCAAAGGATTTGCTTCTCAGGCACTAAATACTTTGGGGGTGCCAATGCTTGGAGGTGATAACGGGGAGACTAAGTTTAAAGGCAACAGCCAAGCTGACACAGTTGATTTCAGTATTATAGCAGTGGCTGGTAAGGCTTTGGGTCCTGCAGATCTTATGGAGCATCACAGTGGTAGCCAGAGTCCTTTATTGACCACTGGGGACATAGGGAAAGAAAAGACTCAAAAGAGAGTGAAGGAAGGCAATGGCACCAGTAATAGTAGTTTGTCAGGGCCAGGATTAGACAGCAAATCAGGGAAACGCAGTCGGACCCCTTCTAATGATGGCAAAAGCAAAGATAAGCCTCCAAAGAGGAAGAAGGCAGACACTGAGGGAAAGTCTCCATCTCACAGTTCTTCTAACCGACCTTTCACCCCACCTACTAGTACAGGTGGATCCAAATCTCCAGGCAGTTCAGGACGATCTCAGACTCCCCCAGGTGTTGCCACGCCACCCATTCCTAAAATCACTATTCAGATTCCTAAGGGAACTGTGATGGTGGGCAAGCCCTCCTCTCACAGTCAGTATACCAGCAGTGGTTCTGTGTCTTCCTCGGGAAGTAAAAGCCACCATAGCCATTCTTCCTCATCTTCTGCTTCCAACTCAGGCAAGATGAAAAGCAGTAAATCAGAAGGTTCATCAAGTTCCAAGTTAAGTAGCAGTATATATTCTAGCCAGGGGTCTTCTGGATCTAGCCAGTCCAAAAATTCATCCCAGTCTGGGGGAAAGCCAGGCTCCTCTCCTGTTACCAAGCATGGACTGAGCAGTGGCTCCAGCGGCACCAAGATGAAACCTCAAGGGAAGCCATCATCACTTATGAATCCTTTAAGTAAGCCAAACATATCCCCTTCCCATTCAAGGCCACCTGGAGGCTCTGATAAGCTTGCCTCTCCAATGAAACCTGTTCCTGGTACTCCCCCATCTTCTAAAGCCAAGTCCCCTATCAGTTCAGGTTCTGGTGGTTCTCATATGTCTGGAACTAGTTCAGGCACTGGCATGAAGTCATCTTCAGGGTTAGGATCCTCTGGCTCACTGTCTCAGAAAACTCCTCCATCATCTAACTCTTGTACATCATCTTCCTCTTCCTTTTCCTCAAGTGGCTCTTCCATGTCATCCTCTCAGAACCAGCATGGGAGTTCCAAAGGGAAATCTCCCAGCAGGAATAAGAAGCCGTCCTTAACAGCTGTCATAGATAAACTGAAGCATGGGGTTGTCACCAGTGGTCCTGGGGGTGAAGACCCAATGGATGGCCAAATGGGGGTGAGCACAAATTCTTCTAGCCATCCTATATCCTCCAAACATAACATGTCAGGAGGAGAGTTCCAGGGCAAGCGTGAGAAAAGTGATAAAGACAAATCAAAAGTTTCCACCTCGGGGGGCTCAGTGGATTCATCTAAGAAGACCTCAGAGTCAAAAAATGTGGGGAGCACAGGTGTGGCAAAAATTATCATCAGCAAGCACGATGGGGGATCCCCCAGCATTAAAGCCAAAGTGACTTTGCAGAAACCTGGGGAAAGTAGTGGAGAAGGGCTCAGGCCTCAGATGGCCTCTTCCAAAAACTATGGCTCTCCACTCATCAGTGGTTCCACTCCAAAGCATGAGCGTGGCTCCCCCAGCCACAGTAAGTCACCAGCATACACCCCCCAGAATCTGGACAGTGAAAGTGAGTCAGGCTCCTCCATAGCAGAGAAGTCTTATCAGAACAGTCCCAGCTCAGATGATGGCATCCGACCTCTTCCAGAATACAGCACAGAGAAGCATAAGAAGCACAAAAAAGAAAAGAAGAAAGTAAAAGACAAAGATAGGGATCGGGACCGTGACAAAGACCGAGACAAGAAAAAATCTCATAGCATCAAGCCAGAGAGTTGGTCTAAATCACCCATCTCTTCAGACCAGTCCTTGTCTATGACAAGTAACACAATTTTATCTACAGACAGGCCCTCAAGGCTCAGCCCTGACTTTATGATTGGGGAGGAAGATGATGATCTTATGGATGTGGCCCTGATTGGCAACTAGGAACCTTTTTAAGATTAAAAACATGGCCAGAAAACAAAACAAAACAAAACTAATAAGTGTATAGGCAAACCACCATGAGGGCTGAGTCAGATAGGTCTGCTTTCATGTTTAAGAATCTTAAATGGCATGGCTTTGACATGAGTGGGGTGAATTTAGAAGGGCACAGCCAGACCCTACTAAAGAGACCATAAGGTTTCATTCCTGATTACCAAGAATCACTTGTTCCTTTGCCAGGAAAGAAAAAAAAAGTTAAAATACTTGCTTATGAAAGGGAGGGGGTGGGAAGGGCTTAGGGAGAGGGAAGGGTGGGAAACAGTTTTGTGGGAAATATTCATATATATTTTTTCTCCCTTTTTCCATTTTTAGGCCATGTTTTAAACTCAGTGCATGTATTTGAAGGGCTGGGCAGAAAATGAAAAAGCAATACATTCCTTGATGCATTTGCATGAAGGTTGTTCACCTTTGTTTAGGTAGTTGTCCATTTGAGGCATGGGCAAATGAAGGACTTTGGTTATTTTGGACACTTAAGTAATGTTTGGTGTCTGTTTCTTAGGAGTGATTGGGGGAGGGAAGATGATTTTAGCTATTTATTTGTAATATTTTAACCCTTTATCTGCTTTTATACAGTGTTTCTTTCTAATTCTATAAGCTTCAGAGTTCAAAATGATGGGAGGTGGAAGAGGGAGGCTTATTTGGTGGTAGGGAGCTTGTAGCTTGTGCTGGTTACCGTAGTGTCAAGCCCCAGCAGATTAGTCAGAGCCCGCCTTTGTAGTTAAGTAGAAAAACCAAAATGGTATTTTTATTTTAGGAAGTTTTTCATAGGGTTCAGACATCATAGGAATATTAGGAGTTATCTCCCTGTGGAGGTATTGATTTATAGTTTTTTTTTTCCTTTAAAAAAAAAAACTGGGCTGGCTTTTGGGGATGTAAACTTGTTTTCAGATGCAGTAAGGCTTAATGTGGGGCAGCCTCCCGACCCAGTGGCATGAAAACCATTACAGAATTAATAGTTCTCCTATTTCCACAATGTGCCAAAAGTCCACATCCCAGCATTTTGTTTGTAGGAGAACTGATGCCATTCCTGAGAGCTGGGCTCCTTGTTTCCCTTCATCACAAGGATAAGGAGTCCAGACTTTAATCACTCCACTATATGCTCCCTTAGATAAAACAGTAAAAAAAAAAAATTGCAGCCATAGTTCACTTAAAACAGTTTCAAGCTCACTTGAAGTAATGGGGGCCTGGAATGCTAGGTGGGCATGAAGATAAACCCTTGCTACTATGTAGCAACACAATTGGACCTTTTTGGAGGAACAGGTCTGAGTCTGGATCCTGGGGGACATCAATAAGAAGCCCTTCTCATAAATATGGAAATCCAGGAGACCATGAGTGCAACACAAGTTCTCAGTATTTGGAGGGTCCTCTCAAAATTCTGCGGCCTTACTTTGATTTTGACACCTGCACTGTGCCATTCCTGATGATTCCATTCAGGATCTGTATCAGCAGGACGGGGCACGATCCCCAGCACAACTCTTCTGGATTTAAAAAAAAAAAGCCAGGTGATTCATTTGTGTGTGTATGTGTGTCATAAATGGAGTGACTTCATCAGATACTGAAGATTTCTATATTCAGCTCTTTCTGCAGGTTGGAGTTAGCATAGAGTTGGAAAAATCAGCTTTGGCTTTCTTTCCTGACTGTCTCTGATTTCCTTTAGTGTTCTCCCTTTTCTGGTCATCAGCTCTCAACAACTCTGCCACTTTTGTGTCCCAAGGTAATAAGAAGTAGGAAACGAAACATTGCAAAGTGGAGCAAGAAAAGTTATCGGTTACCGTATCAGAGTCAATGTCTTGGGTGACACTAAGGAGGACATGGGCAAGGTGATACCAGAGTGCTTTATCTTGTGATGCTGATACAGTAGCAGCCTCTCAGACATACAACCAGGTTGGATTTCTCACAAGTTTCTCACCTAGTTTTGAATCCTATCCCATTGGTTTCTGCAGGAAAAAAAAAAAGTTGTTTTAAAGTTTGTTCTGGGTGGGGATAATCTTACGGGAATGTACTGCATAGTATCAGGGGCTCAGCTCCCCCAAGCAGAGCCAACAAATACCAAAATGAGTAAACTGGGAAGCTTTTTTCTCTCTTTCTGTCTTCATCCCAGATCAAAGAATCCCGAGTTAGGATCTGGATGAAGGATAAGCCCCTGAATTGTCGATGGGCACACCCCACACACTGACCCAGCATCTGAACTTGCTTAACAGGGAGCCGGGGCTAAACTGCTTCACCCTGCCTGAGAACCAGGGAGCACTGCATTTCTCCACAGGGTGGAGGAGAAGAGGCAGAATAAATCAAGCCTGGGACACCTCCCTCCTGTCTAGGTGTACTCATTCTCCTGTTTCAAAAGACGGCAAGGACATGAAGTCAACTTCTACCTATCTTCTGCTGCTGGTGTCTTATGTATTCTTAGTTTGACCTGATTCCTCTTCTGTCTTTTGGCTTCATGTTAGGGGTTCTTGGTGAAAATCTGCTCTGATGTACATGAAGATTCCAGGTTCAAAATCAGTGTCTTTCAAAAACAAGTATTTGGGGGGGTGGGGTGGGGAATGAAGCAGAATATAATTGCCAAAACTAGACTTGAGGTTGGTGACTCTTGGAAAGATTTTCCTTAAGGCCTAGGGCTGAAAATTTAGTGCAGCACTATTATGAATTCTCAGAAGAAACCCTTCGAGGGAGCCAGTGAGTCGTAGTATCCACGAGTCACTTAAAGCAGATGCCATTTTAGGAAACTCATTCACAATCTAGGCAATCTTACTTTCTTTGACCCCCCCCCCTTTTTCAATTCCTCTTCCCCCTTACTTCTACCCTTGAGTTAAGTTTTTTGAAGGGTTGGAAGTACTTAACATCTCAGAAGCAAGGTTGGGAAACATGCTCAGTTGTAAAAGCTGAGCTTTAAATTTTGAGTTTTAAAAATGTACATCAGGAGCAGTTGGGGAGGGTCTTTTCTAAAAAATCTTTCAAATTTGATTTTCTGTGCGTATGGCCGTTCTGTAAATACTTCGGGGTTTTTCATTTTTTGAAAGTAGACAAATCTGTGGGATTTTTTTCCCAAAACATTACAAAAACCTGTTTATTTACATGCAAATAAATTTCTTTGATAAAAAGCAACATGCCTACGTGTAATAAATTTTTACCTTTGAATGATTTTCATTTATTCGGCTTTTTAAAAGTCCAATCAAAAAAATGTTTAAATAACAAAAGTAAAAGACTTCCCTGAGTATTCCTTGAATGAGTTAACTGGAAAGAATAGTTGAAATTAGGGAAACAGACCTGTGAACGTTTCATTTGATTTATATGCTCAAGTTAGTTTTACTACCTTTTGCAGGCCTTAGTCTCCAAATTCATCAGCAGTTCTTTTTGGGAGAAAACTGCTTTTAGATGAGATGCAACTAAAAGGCTGTTTTTATATGGATGAAGTGAAGCAATAACATTAAAAGTAAATGGGATAGGAGGAGACTAGAACATCTAGACCTGGGTTTGTGGGTTTGAGAATGAGTTTCTAAAGCTGGATTCCTTGCTTAGGAAGCCCTTTCTAGGATTAAAAAAAATAATTTTAAAGTGCTTAAATAAGCCTTGCAGCTAAAATACGCCTATTTTTAAAGATCTCCAGCATCAGTTGCTCTTAAATAAGCTCATCTCTTAATCAGACATTCATAGCAATCTAGTCATTAAAAGTGGTATGAATACAAACTCATTTGCTCTGGAATACAATTAGAACTGATCCAGGCAGAACTGCTGGAATTTATGATACAGTTTCTAATATTTTATCTTTGGGATATAATTCTTTGTCTCTTTTCTAAGGGTAAACTTACTCCTTAATTCTTGGAAATTAGATAATTTCGAGACCTTGTGAGCTGGAGTTGCTAAAGTATAACATGATAACAAAATGTAGCTTCTGTAGAAGGAGCCAGTCAGAATGAAAGTCTTAGTTTCCAATAGGCAAGAGCCCCCGCCTACTCGTTCAGACATGCTTGTTTCTCCCGCCAAAATGGCGTCAGGATCAGGTTCTCACCAACCAGGGCCCTGATTGGAGGGCGGGCAGGCACTAGAACCCATTGGGTGCCAGCGGCGATCTGGCGGCAGAGGGGCGGGGGAAGCCAAAGGCCTTCTGCCTCGCCTGCCCCCACCTCCACCAATGAGCGCCCCTCCCCCAGCTAAAGGAATGGTCGCCCAGCTCCAGCACTGCACCCCCTGATCCTCAAGGCGCGAGGTGCGGCCTCATTGCAATTTCCCGGAGCAGAGGGCAGCCTGTCCTCCTGATCCATGCACAGGGAGACCCACGCCGCGCAGTGGCCCCCCAGGCTCCCCTGCAACACCCGGTAATGCAATCCACGGGGGCGGGGGAGGCGGCGGCAGCGGCGGCGGCGGCGGTTACAGCATCAGCAGCAGCGGCGGCGGCAGCAGCGGCGGCGGCAGCAGCAGCACTGCCCCATTCTAGACACAACCAGCGAGGAGGAAAATGGCTCCGAGCAGGGACCGCCTGCTGCACTTTGGGTTCAAGGCGACAGTGAGTGATAGGGGAAGGGAGCTGGGTGGTTGGGAAGGACATGTGTGCCAGCACAGGCTACCGGGGAAGCGACAAGACTTAAGAGGGCTAGGAGGACAAGACAGACAGTTGAAGTGCTTAGTGGGTTGTTGCGTGCTGTTTGCTAGCAGACGGGGGAAGAGGGGGCACGGGTGCTGTGTGCAGTTGTCCTTTCCTCTCTCACCAGGCGCCGAGCACGCGCGCACTCGCACCCGCCCAAAAGCCCCTCCCATACACAAATACACACGGACATATAGGCACTTCCCTGCCTCTCCTTTTCGCAGTGGTCTTGCCTGCCTTGGAGGCGAGAGCGGGCTCGCGCCGCTGCCACCGCCGCCGCGCTCCCGCTGCTCCCGAGTGGACAGTCTCAGTCTGCGCCCGGGAGTGGGGGAAGGGTG